GGTCAGATAATTTCTTTATGGCCAGTTTTACTCAGAAAGGCAGAGGGAAAGTTAACAGTAGTATTTTCAGGTTTTATGGCTGGCTTTGATGAAAAGGGGTTCCGGTGTTTACGACCTGCCTTGGGCAGTTAGGATTCCAGTTTTTATGGCTAGCCCCCGGGGAGACTGTGACTGAGAGACAGGAGGCAGAAGGTCAGAGAAAAACTGTCTTTTCTGAGGCTGTTGCCCCGGCTAGAGTGCTGTGGCAGTCAGCCTAGCTCACAGCAACCTCCAACTCCTGGACGCAAGCAATCCTCCTGCCTCAGCCTCCCAAGTAGCTGGGACTACATGCATGCGCCACCATGCCCAGCTAATTTTTTTCTATATATTTTTAGTTGGCCAATTAATTTCTTCCCATTTTTAATAGAGACAGGGTCTCACTCTTGCTCAGGCTGATTTTGAACTCCTGACCTTGAGAGATCCTCCCCCCTTGGCCTCCCAGAGTGCTAGGATTACAAGCATGAGCCCCTGTGCCTAGCCCCTGAGGCTGCTTCTGAGGCCTTCATTTTGGGGTATTGTCGTTCTGAGCCCCAACACTTTCAATGGCAGCAGCACCCGTGAGGCGGAAGGCAAGCCGCCTACAGGCCTAAGAGGCCCAGCCAACCTTGGCACCCCTCTTGCCAGGCTGCCAGCGCTCCTTGCTGCTCTGCTGCAGCAGCTTGGGGCAGCTCCACCCTGCACCCCTGCGATTGTTCCCTCTGCTGGGAGCACCACTCCCAATGCCTCAAGGGTCATTTGCTCTAAGAGATCTTTCCTTGGCTTCCTCCCCATCCAGGAGTGTGGCCTGCCCTCACTGCTCTGAGGGGTGAGCCCCTGGAGACCACCAGGCAGAAAAGGCCCTTGGAGCCTGGTGCTGCCCACAGCAGGGCAGCTCCACACAGTGATGAAAGCACATGCCCAGACCCTCCGGGCAGTGGCTGAGGGGCAGTAACAGCCCACACTCCCTGGACTGCTGTCACCACACTCCCTGGACACAGCACTGTGCCTGGCAAGTGCTCTGCCCTCCTGTGAGCCGCTAAGCACAAAGGGGCCTAACAATCACTGCCACGCACATGGCTTCCCAGGGCCTGCAAATGGCAAAGCCTCCAGCCCCAAACCCTGCTGACGTCCCTGGCTCCTGACCCCTCACCTCTACCCACCACTGGTGAGACCTCGCCGTCTTCTCACTTCCTCAGCTTGTTTACAGACTCCTCCTCCAGGGAGCCCTCCTGGACTGAGCAAGCACTACCTCCACTGATGGAGCCCCTTCTGCCAGTCAGATGGTCCCAAGGTGCCAGGGTTCTCTCGGGAAGGGTTCAAATCTGAAAGGAAGGTGGGGCTGGCCCCACCCCAACAGGTGCTACCTAGAGCCAAGGTTCCTACCCTGGGGTTTCCAGCCTAAATGAGATCAATCGGCACCAAGAGACCAAGTAGCAAAGGCCACAGTATATGCCAAGCTCGTGCCTGCCTGGGCCTGGGACTGCGCGCTCGCTCTGCACAGACTCCCCTTGCCTTGCCCTCACCACTGGCTCCTTCTCAGCTCTCACACTGATGCTTAGTGACCCCTCCTTAATTCACTCAGGATCCCCTATGTTCTCCCTTTCAGCCCCTCCCTGCCATCCTCACAACTCTCAGCTCCATCCGTGACTATGTCAAGAGCCCCGGTGCTCAGCGAGGCAGCAGTTCAAATCAAGAACACAGACATGAACCAGAAAGTGTTTATTGAAAAATTTGGCCAGGGTTCCAACTGGGTGGCCCCAGCCGAGGCTAGGCTGAGCCCCTCTGCCTAGGGCTGGCAGGTGAGCTGGGATCGGGGAGAGGGAGCAACCCTGAGACGGAGACCTCAGAGCTGCGACATGATATTGGATGCCAAGCTGCAGGTGAGGCCTGTGCCGTCTGGTTCCACATTGAGGCTCTTCACTACACCATTTTCTACCACCATGGAGAACCTGCCGGAAAGAGAGGCCAGCCAGCTGCAGCAGCCTGAGCCTGGGGGCTGGGACGGAGACAGGAAGGGAGGCAGGAGCCAAAGTCCCAGGAGAACCCCACAGAGGACCCACCACTTTTACCTCTTAAGCCGTCGATTCCCAAAGAGGGGCACCAACGAGTCATCTAGTAGTAAATCTGTCTCCTATGAGGAAACACAGAGAAAAGCATCAGGAACCTCCGGAACAGGCCAAGGCCCCGCTGCCCCCCACGCTGCCATGTCCCTCCAAGTCCCTGCTTCCAAGGTCTAGCATAGGAACTGCTCTGTAGGGTGGAGGTCAGGGGCATACTCACCTTCCCAAAGGCCCCAGTGGGGTCAGCCAAGAGCCGAACCTGAGAGAGAAGATAAAAGTCACGAAGACAATCTCCTGCCAGGCCCCGACCCCCTGGAGGCCCCACACCTCACCTTGCCTTCCGTCTTGTGGGCTCGTCCCCACTCACTAGTCACAAAGACATCATTAACACTCAGACATGCCACCACCTTGACCCCCTTGGCCTTCAGAGCCTCAGCCTGCTCCACAAACCCTGGCAGGTGGGTCTGAGAAGGAGGAAACAAAGGGTCAGAAAGGGATAACTCTATCTGCTCCTCAGCCCACCCTCCTGCTCCAGGCCCTCCTCACTGCCCTGTCTCAATGCCTTTGATCAGACAATGAGAACTGTGTAAACCATTCTATTTCATTTTTGCCTTGGCCACTAGAAAGCTCAGATCCAAACTTAATGTCCTATAGTCAAGACCATGAACTTACGTGCAGGACTATGTCTTATTTACCTGAGTCCCAGGTACCTTCCACAGTGCCTGTCACTCAGCAAGACCAGTTAGATTTAACTGCAATACCCTTTCCTCCAACATTCCTGGTATTACTATTACCTTTCCAAAGCTTCTGCTTATTTTACGATCGCACTGAAATGCTCTTCTAACTGTCAAATGAGGACTATATGGAGGACTCAAGAACAATAGAAAAGTTCGCCATTTCTAATCCTCAGAAGGGCAGGGCCTCACCTTGGAACAGCCAGGGGTAAAGGCCCCAGGAACTCCAAACAGCACACCCTTCTTGCCCTTGAACAGCTCTGCCAGGTTCACCTTGTTTCCCGGCTCCCCTTCGAATACCTCAACCGAGGGGATGGCATCTCCCACCTAGAGGGAAGGACTCCAAGATGAATGGGGTAAGGGAGGGATGGCAAACCAGAGCAGGGGGAAGGGGACAGAAAGCCTGGCAGCTGCGCCTGCTGGATACAGGGCTGAAACCCAGCAGGAAATTCCGGCCCTGTCAGAGATACCAAGGGTCCTTCCCTGTCCCCCTCTACCCCATCTGGTTACCCCACATCCTCCAGGTTTCATGGTGGCCCTGCTCCTCTTAAGGGCCCATTGGTGACAACAGAGAAAGGGAGAGAAGGCCTCACCAAGTGTCACAAGGGATTGTGTAATAAACTGTCTAGGTTACGGGAAAGGAGTTGGATAAGTGGCCAGGGGCAGCAGACAGAGGAGGCCGTGACAACAAGGAGGGGATCCTGGCCAGGCTTGAGTGTCCCACCCCCATTAAGAGGAGGAGGGATGGTAGCAGCAGATAGGAAAGTTAGGGGAGGGTGTCCAGACCTCTACACCCAGGAGATGTAGAATAAAGAAGGAATCTCCAGAAAAGGGAGGGACCCATCCACCTGGGGGTGTGGGAGGGGGCCAGGAGAGTAGACAGGAGGGGGAGAGTCACGGGGGGGGGGGGAGATGGGGGGCAGTAAAAAGCAGAAGGTAAAGAGGTCTAAGAAGGGATTGAGAGGGAAAGGAGGCAAGGTTCAAGTAGCTGGGGATGGCTCCAGAAGGGTGGGAATTAGCCATGAAAGGAGGAGAAAAAGTCGTACAGTAGAATGGAGAGAAGACACCATTGGGGCGATAAGGGACAACAACCCTTTCAGAAGTTGGGGTGAAGTGATGCCCCAGTACTATCACAAAGGCGGGGGAGGGGCGGTTAAAAGGGGCACTGGGGCAAAGGAGATAGTTCCAGAAAGTGAGGAAGACCATGGTATTCAATCGCCTGAAAATGGTGGAGACCTGTCACAGAGTGTCACAGGGCCAATGTGAAAGGACTCAAGGGGAGAGCCCGAGGCCCCTACGACTGGAGAGAACGGTGCCGGGGAGATGAGTAGGACAGGGGTCTCTAGGGCGGCGGGAGGCGTCCAGAAGCCAGGAAAAAGGGCGACATCCCCATGACAAGCTGGACAGGGGGCGGCCTTGAAAAGACTGAAGGAGTGGGGGAGGTCGGGGCGGGGTAGGAGGGGCAGCGGTCACCTTGATTGGGGCCATGGCTGCGGCGGCGCTGCTGAAACTCTGGACCCTGCCAGGCCCCCACCCTCCTGCTCCTTTCGGCTGTCGTGTTGCTGCTGCCGGTGCTGCTGTCGCTGCCACAGACTCGGCGACCGTACCAGCGAATAAATAGCCAGCTCGGCGTCTCAGGACCCACAGCCCCGCCACCCTCCACGCGACCGCAACCATCCCGCCCCCTAGCCCGGGCCGCCGCAGGAGGCGGAGCCTGGCTCCAGGCGCCGCCGCGGCGTCGAGGAAAGGCGGGGCCTGCGCCGGCCAGCGGCCCCCACGCGGAGGGAACGGGCGGCCCCGCACCCACGGAGCTTCCGGGCCCCCAGGAAGCAAACGATGCGTTGAAGGCGGGGCAGCTAATTTGCATACGGGAAGGAGGTGCGGCGGGTTTGCCGGGCCTAGTTTACAGAGGGGGCGGTGCTCCTTAACTGAAAGGAGCGGAGGAGGGCGGTGGCGCCGGGGCCGGCGACGGGTAGGACGTGTCTACTTTGCGTCCCGTGAGGCGCCGCGTTGCGGCTGCCTTACGTCTCCCTCGCACTTTACGCACGACGTGCGGCGAGCGGGGTCTGAGCCACAACCAGGCGGCGTGCGCCGGCCGAGTCGCTTCCGGCAGCAGCGCGTGAACCCACGGGTCTTCCCCCTGCCTCCCTTGGCTCCTGCGAGCGCTAGAAGATCCAGCAAGTTCGCCACTTCCGGCCCCCCAGCCATCCAATAGCATAGTGAGTGGAGCAGCCCCGGAAGTGACGCGTAGCAGAGAGGCGGTCTCTTTCCGCTTCCGGCCTGGCGGAAGCGCGTTTGGCGACATGAAGCTGCTCACTCACAATCTGCTGAGCTCGCATGTGCGGGGGGTGGGGCCCCGTGGCTTCCCCCTGCGCCTCCAGGTAACGGCCGGGACGGTTTCTCCCCTCTCCTGGGTGGGGTAGGGGAACTGGGGTCCGGTCCCTGCTAACTACACCCTCCCGCCCGCAGGCCACCGAGGTCCGCATCAACCCCGTGGAGTTCAACCCCGAGTTCGTGGCGCGTATGATACCCAAGGTGGAGTGGGCGGCGCTCCTGGAGGCGGCAGATACCGTGAGGACCCTCCCCCGACCTGTGCATGCCCTGGGAAGGGGGGGCGGGCTCACCGCAGCTTCTAGTGCCGTGCCCCGGAGCCCGGCCTGAGGCAGAGGGTCAGGGATGCACAGGGATGATTTAGGTTTCTTGCCCACCCACAGTTGCACCTGGTCGAGGTGCCCAAAGAGCCGATTCAGGGATATGAGCATGATGAGAACTTTCTGAGGAAGATGCACCACGTCCTGCTGGAGGTGAGAACCGGCCTGTCACTTCCTTACCCGGCCACCTGCCTCCCACACTGAGGCTGCTAGTGCTCAGCTCTGTCCCTTCCCGCCCGCAGGTGGATGTGCTGGAGGGCACCCTGCAGTGCCCGGAGTCTGGACGTCTGTTTCCCATCAGCCGTGGGATCCCCAACATGCTGTTGAGTGATGAGGAAACGGAGAGTTAGTTGATCATGCCAGGCACCAGTTTTCCATTTCGTGACTGTGTGTATCTTTGTTGATGTATGTCTTGTTAATACTTCTTCCATGTATATCACCAGCCCTTGTCCCCATGACAAACTGAACACACAGTGTTCTTGAGCTTGATAGTATATATTTTTTTCTCATTAAAGGTTCAAAACCAAAAGCGGTTTCTTTTTGCAGCAAATATACATTAAAATAGAGTCTCTGTACAGCCAAGGGCTCTGGGCCCTGGCTTGCCCCATGTCCCTGCGCCTCCCTGGCCAAACCCAAAAATAAATATAGTGTTATTGCTATGCAGGGCATAGAGGCAGTGCTCTCCCTACCCCCTGAGGAGGCTAGGTGGGAGCTGATGGGGGGCCCTGGCCACCCCAGGAGTCCAGGGGCTGGAGCCTGCTTGGAGTTATTGCTTCAAGGGGGGGCACTAATGCCCAATGCAAATGATGAGGAGAGGAGCGAAGGGGGCAGGGGCCTTTGCTCTCCAAGTCCCCCTCTGCTCTAGAGAGGGGGTAGGATTAAGCAGCAGCAAAAGCATCACCCACTGGGAGACTCTGGCCTCCATCCCCTTCCCTCCCTGAGTTCAGGCTTCTGCCTCCCACACATCCCCTGCAGCCCCCTATGGCTTCCGCAAGGCCCCCTACACTCTGGGGGAACATTATGGCTTGCAAGGGGCAGCACTGTGCCCAGAGCCTGGGCATATACCTTCCCAGCTTCTGACACCCCTTAGGAGGGGAGGGCGTGGGGCCTGCTCCCAGGAACTGATTGCATTGCCCTGGCCCTGCCAGCAGGCTGTGGCACTGCCCAGACCCTAGCTCTGCCCCCTTGGGGCTGACTGCATGCTTGGCAGGTCCTATAGCACCCCCACCAGTCCCACCCCTGCCTCAGTCCATCATGGCCTCAAGCATCTCCAAAAACAGCTTGTGCATGGGCACCTTGCCCTCCAGCTTCACCCCATAGAAATGGGCCAACACTTTGCCCGCTGTCTGGCGGAGGAGGGGTAGTGTGAGCAGCAGCCTTCCTGCCCGCCGCCGCTCAGCACCCCCTCCAGGGCCGGCCCGGCCGGCTTCATACTCCAGCAGGGCCTCATGCAGGGCTTCTCGCAGCTGCTCCACAGCCTCAGCATCTTCGATGTGCACAGAGTCTGCAAGGAGAAAGAGGGGAACTATTGACCTGGGCCATCACTGGAAAGGGCAGAACCTACACCTAGCTTGGACACTGCCACATGGGACCTAAGGGCATGTCAGACACAGATCTGCCGATGTGTGGACTAAAGAGCACCACCCATTTTCTACCCAAGACCCAGGGCCCCCCCTTTCTCAACTGTGCCACCTCTTACTCTCCCTCCCCCTAAACTGTTTACCTTTCCATGTGAGCATGGCACTAGGGGTCAAAATGCTGTGCAGTTGAGGGCCTGCCCTTGGCTTGCTTTTTGATTTTCAGCAAGTCATTGTTCTTTCCTAAGCCTCAGTTTTCCTTATCTGCAAAATGGGACTATGCCACCATCACAGAGTTAAAAACTAGAAGGCCTCATGGAGAGACCTTTCAGTGCCTGCCCCAGACTCTCACCCGAATTGGCAAGGGCCAGGGCCTTCAGCAGGACGTACTCCTCTCGTTCCAGCCGTAGTGCCTGCAGTCGCCGCACCAGTTGCAGCAGGGCAGCCCCCAGTTCCCCCAAGCCAGCTGCCCGTGCCCCCTCTTCATCCAGGACCAGGTCCTCAGCAAAAGCCAGCTCATCCTGCAGTGGTAGTGAACGCTGGGCCACACCCAGCACCAGTACCTCCATCCATACGCTCTGCAGTACTGACATCTGGTCAGACAGCGACAGTGATGAGAAGCCTACAGGGCAGTGGGGAGCAGGCCTAGCTGAGCAAGTGCACCAGAGCCAGGCATAGCCTGGCCCACTCAGGGAATCCCGATGTCACCTGGGCCCTTTACCTGGGATGCTCTTGGCCCAGCTGATGGTGACCACGATCTCTCGGTCAAAGAGGTCACAGAGGGTAGCCACAGCTGGGAGGTGTCCATCAGGGCCCGCTGGGTCGGGCATGGCATATAGCTTTTCAGGTTCAACCACTAGCAGGTGAGACACCAGTGCATTCACCGGGGCTGCAGTGACAGTTGGAGGACTAGAGTCAGGAGCACTCTAATCCATAAGGCCTCAGGAGCCATGCATCTTCCCACAGTCCCCTGTGGCTTTCCTCAATAGCCACTGGCTTGTCAGGCAGGCACCTCTCTGCAGGGAAGAGCATTCACTATCTCCCAGGGAACACCAGTCTATTTGTGGACAGGCTCTGAGTGTTAGAAAACCTTTTCCAGTTCCCAGTTGTACTACTTGGTGTCTGATGCAAAAAAAAAAGGCACTTTCACATTTCTTGGGGAAATGAATAAGATAAAGAGGATATCTGGGTCCCAGTGCTCAAGATGACTACTATACTGGGCAAACAATGCCACAGACAGGCCTCCCATGTCCTAGCCCCACCCCAGCCCCAGAACTGTAGGAACCTCCCATGCTCACCTGTCTTCCGGGGGCCTCCAGCTACTGCCAGGGGGCCAGCAGGGAAGGGGCTTGGGAAGGGCAGCGGGTCCACCTCTGGCCGCCGCTTGTACTTCTGCCGCCCACCCCGGACACGGTCCAGGCGCACCCCTTGAATTGTAGGACAGGACTGTGTCTGTGGTGCTGGGAGTGGGCTGAGCCATTCTCCCCAGTTCCTTCACCAGGACTTCCCAGGCCTTGCCCCCGCCTGGCCCCGTGCAGCTCCCCCAGCCCTCCCCCAGCCCTCGCCCAGGCCCCTGCCCAGCGCTCACCCTCCTTGAGCATGCCCACCCGCAGGCACTTGGTGAAGCGGCAGGCCTGGCAGGCCTTGCGTCTCCGCTTGGTGATCTCACACTCGTTGGAGGCCGGACAGCTGTACTCGATGCTCCCTGCCAGGAAGAGGCAGGGCTCCAGTGGCGGCCTCCCAGGGCCCGGAGGGGGCCCAGCTGACAGGAAAGCCCTGACTGGCCCAGGGCAAGCACAGGTCTGGGGGTGTGGGGAGGAAAGGGAGAGCAGGATGCCATGAGCAGGCAGGGAGGGGAAAGGCTGCTGGGCGGGGGCCCTGTCTGGACAAGGGAGGGGCTGGGACCAGGCAGTCAGTCAGGCTGCACCTCTGCCCCAAGCCTCTGGTCAAGCCAGGTCTCTGGGCCACACTGCCCTCTTCTGATCTCATCCAGGGCCACAATGACTTCTACGTTGCTAAATCCAATATTCAATTCTTGGTCCTAAAAGTAGCATCTAACATCACTGATCGCTTCCCACTCCTAGAAACACTTAAACACTTTCTTCCATTTTTTTTTTTTTTTTTTTTTTTGAGACAGAGTCTCGCTTTGTTGCCCAGGCTAGAGTGAGTGCCGTGGCATCAGCCTAGTTCACAGCAACCTCAAACTCCTGGGCTCAAGCGATCCTTCTGTCTCAGCTTCCCAAGTAGCTGGGACTACAGGCATGAGCCACCATGCCGGCTTTTTATATATATTAGTTGGCCAATTAGTTTCTTTCTATTTATAGTAGAGACGGGGTCTCCTCTTGCTCAGGCTGGTTCGATCCCGACCTCGAGCAATCCCCCGCCTCAGCCTCCCAGAGAGCTAGGATTACAGGCGTGAGCCACCGCGCCCGGCTCTTCCTTTTTTTTTTGAGACAGAGTCTCACTCTGTTGCCTGGGCTAGATGGCCATGGTATCAGCCTAGCTCACAGCAACCTCGAACTCCTGGGCTCAAGCAATCCTACTGCCTCAGCCCCTGAGTAGCTGGGACTACAGGCATACGCCACTATGCCCGGCTAATTTTTTCTATATATTTTTAGTTGGCCAATTAATTTCTTTCTATTTATAGTAGAGACGGGGTCTCGCTCTTGCTCAGGCTGGTTTTGAACTCCTGACCTTGAGCGTTCCTCCCGCCTCGAACTTCCAGAGTGCTAGGATTACAGGCGTGAGCCACTGCGCCGGGCCAACACTTTCTTCTTTTGCTTCTAAGACACCACACACTCCTGGTTTCCCCCCACCTCACTGGCCACTTTGTGGTTTCTGTGCATCTCACTGAGCTCGTCTCCTGAAGAACTCCAGGGCTGCCTGTGTACCTCATTTCCACTCACTCCCAGGCAATCTGACCCGGTCATGGGGCTCTCAAGTCCGCATCTCTGGCCTGAACTCTAGACTCTGCATATCCAGCAGCCTCAACACCCAGCATGTCTAGCAGGCAGCTCAAACCTAGCATGTCCTAAATGGACTCCACCGTGCAGTTGCTCAAGCAGACACCTGGGCAGTATCTCCGCTTCCTCTCATACCAACCCACTCACAAATTCTGGAGGGCTTTACCTATTCCTATGTCCAAAATCTAACTCCTGCCCCTGCAACTGACTCCACCCTTGACCTGAGTCACTGTCACCTCACCCCCTCACTGGCCTCCTGCTGTCTCTGCCCCCTATTCCCAACACAGCAAGGTCCTATTAAACCTGCGTCATAAATACTAACTTTGTTCTGGAAAAAAACCCTACATCAGATACTGTACGTCTTGTGCTCAAAACAAACCCTCCAGTGATCTCCCTTCTCACAGTACAAGCCAACGCAAACCCACCACCCTCGAGGCCTGTACACCTGCACCGTCACCTTTCTGAGCTCCGCTCCCTCTCTGGCCTCCACACTTCTCAACCAGGCCTTTTTTTTTTTTGAGACAGAGTCTCACTCTGTTGCCCAGGCTAGAGTGCTGTGGCATCAGCCTAGCTCACAGCAACCTCAAACTCCTGGGCTCAAGCAATCTTGCTGCCTCAGCCTCCCGAGTAGCTGGGACTACAGGTGTAAGCCATCACACCCGGGTGATTTTTTCTATTTTTAATAGAGCTGGGGTCTCACTTTTGCTCAAGCAGGTCTGGAACTCCTGACCTCGAGTGATCCTCCCACCTCAGCCTCCTACAGTGCTAGGATTACAGGCGTGAGCCACCACGACCCGGCCTCAAGGAGGCCTTGCCTCAGAGCACACTGCTCCTGCCTAGAGCTCTGGCCCTGACGTCCACAGGGCTCACAGTCACCGCAATGAGGCCAAATCCCTCTGCACATTCCTCCTGGCCTCTAAGGCCTGCTTTATGTTTTCTCTTAAGCTTTCAGCACCATCAAAGATGCTACAGATGTACTTCTTTATCTAGTTTATTGTCTCTCTCCCACTTTAGTGGCAGCTCCACCAGGGCCAGGACTGTCCCCGGCACCAGTAGCAGGGCCTGGCACATAGCAGGCACTTGTGGCCTTCCCAGCCTCACAGGGTCCCACAAGAACCAAATGAAAGAACCAACAACAGGCCTTCAACACTTTCTCCTGTGCCCTACACAGGCTTCTGCACTCAGCTCGAGACACTTCCTCAGGGAAGCCCTCCCTCGGGAGCCCCAGCCCCAGCCTGCTCCCTTGCCACATACCATAGCTGTAATTGGACAACTGTGTGCAATTCATTATTTCCTCAGTCTCCCCTTTGCTAGGATGTAAACTGCTTGAGGACAGCTCTACCTCAGTCCCAGCTATGTCCCCAAGGCCTGGAACACTGGCCAGGGCAGCGAGGCACAGGCGTGTGAGGCACCAAGGGCTCTGGCTACCACTTACCAACTTTAGGACCTTGGGCAAGTCCCTAACTAACCTCTTGGACTCTGTGTTCCCAGCGGCAAAACTGGGATGATAAAAAAAAATCATATCCACAAGGCAGATTGTGAGAATTCAGGGTAATATGGGCAAAATGTTTAGCATGGTTCATCGCATTTAAATGCTCCATAAACAATTACTGTTTATAGCTAGCACTCAATAAATATTTGTCAACAATCAACATACAATGACGGGCTCCAGGGTGGGTAGGAGACACCTCCACCTGGCTCTGCTGGCTCACTGGTTTTCAGAGCCAGAAGGGAACACGGTTTTTAGACCAGTGGGTTTCAGCCAAGTCAAAACTTGCTGGAATGGCACAATCAGTCGTGAAGCATCTATCTGAAGTTCAGTTATTAGTAATGAGCAGAGGCAGCAGTCTGGTGTTTTAAGAGCTCAGCTCTGGATCTAAACTGACCCAAGTTTAAAGCCTGGTTCTGCCATTTTCTACCTGTGAGATTTGAACAAAGTTTCAAAAACCTGTCTGAGCCTAAGTTATGATACTACTGATGACAACTTATAGGATTGCTGTGGGGAAGCTAAGAACATAAAAGGGCGCAAGGTAAGCACTCAAGAAACAAATTTTTAAATTATATGTTATAGCCCAAAAGTAGCTTATGTTTACGTAAAAACATAAATAATAGGCCCATCCCAAGTAACACTTATATGAGTATCTTGATCACTCCCCTCAACTTTGATACACTTTCCTGAGTGAGAAAAAAAAATCGGTGACTGTTAAGAGCAGAGATGGGTGCTAAAATTTGAGATACCCCTATCAGATACCCACAGAAAGCTGCTTTGTGTTGGTGCAGCTTTGGGGAGATTGAGGAAAAGAGGGCATGTTCTATGCTGGGGGAGGTCAGCAACTGCCAGAAGTAAGAACAAGGTTTAGGAACAGGCAGAGGTTGCCTTGGAATTTGTCAGAGCCACTTGTAGAAGGTGCTGGGCCTGCAGTACCCAGAAACCCAAGTGGCATCCTGAGTCCACTCTCACATCCCACTCCAATCCACCAACACATCCTGGTGGTTTTATCTAACTTTTAAGGAACAGAGTGTTTCTAGGAGGTAGAAGGGCCTGGGAACATCAGACTGCCAACCTCAAGCAGCGCCACGGCAGTCCGGGGGCCAACTGGCACCCAGGAATGTACCCATTGGGTTGGTGCCAGGCCCAGAGGGTACAGGGCAAAGGCAAAAGGGCACAGGAGTAGGGTGGGGGCTCACCCTGGATGGTCCTCTTGAAGAAGGCTTTGCAGGCCTCACAGGATGCCACACCATAGTGGTAGCCGGAGGCCACATCCCCACAGACCAGGCAGAGGCGTTTGGGCAGGGAGCTGAGCACCAGCTTCCCACCACCCTGCTCGCCAGGCCCAGCCCCTTCCCCATCCTCCTCCTCCTTATGGCCTGGGTGGCAGCGAGTGGGAGCTGGACCAGGCGCCAGTGCCACAGAAGGCTCAGTCTCTGTCTCCGAGGAACCCTTTGGGCTGTCGGGGCTGGCTGGCTCTGCTTTGATGTAAAGAGGCTCAATGCCCACCACCTGGCTGGACATGGCGCTGGTCACCTGCAGGGAGAGACCTGTCAGTTTGCAGGAAGGCACCAAGATGGGGGATGGGGGGACACCCTGCCACATGGGTTGCCCAACCCTGGGCCTGGGGCCAGGCTTCCAGACTCTGCAAGGGGGTGGAACAGGGGACAGAGTCCAAGGAAAGGCTGCCCATGAAGAGGGCCCTCCCAGCTGTTGCCATGGGAACAGAGTCTCCAGAACCTCCAAAGACCAGTAACTGACAGCAGGTCTCCCACTTGGGAACCTAGGGAGGCTTGGAAAGCCCCTACTCCTACCCAGGTGGGGGAACAGGGGAACCTTAATACCCAGGCAACCATCAAGCCCAGCTGGAATCCCCAGCCAGAGCAGGCTACCTCCCAATTTTCTCCAGATGTTGGGGGGAACCTTAGTAATCTCCCCTCATCTGGGTATTCTCCATTCAAGTGAGCACACTGAAGTACACAGACCTAAAGGCAGCTGATATCCTCACACAGGTGTTCACATACTCCACTCACCTGGGTGCTCAGGTGTCCCCACGTGTCCATACATGCTTGGGACTTTCACACTCACACACGGCCTTTCTGAAACCCCAGTCCACACTCCTGCTCACACTTATCCTCACACACGCCTCCTGAAGCGCACACAACATAAACTCACACTCAAGGCTCATAATCACACACTCAAAATCAAACTCTCACTCTCACCAAGTCCCATGTTCACACACACAGGTACAGACTAGTGAAAACACCTTCAGAGCTTTTCACACCTGACACACCTCCCCCCTCCTGCCCCAGCATGCCCAATCCCAGCCGCACCGTCGGCCGGCCGGGGCTCCACCTCCTGGCACCCCTGCCTGCACGGTCACTCTTACACTCTGGCTGCCGCAGAGTCCTCCACCTCCCGGGGCGCCCCGCCCCCCAACCTGCGCACACCTATGGGAAGTTGCCTAAAGTTGCTACGCCTCCCCCCCTCCAAGTCCCCGGCCCGCAGGGGACCTCTATCAGGTTATCAGGAAGTAAATGGGGAGAACCAAGGAGGAGGAAGTTCTCCCCTGCCGGTGCGATGACCTTTGACCCAGAGAGGAGGGTGGCCCAAGGCCCCTTCGAGCGCCCCCAAGTGGTCTTCAAAGCCCCTTCCCCGACAGAGAACCCTCCCCATCTCCCACCCTGGCCCGCCCCTGGGACTTTGGCGTGCTCAGGGCCGGATTCAACCCTCTTGCCCCAGGGTTCGACCCCAGGCTCAAGCCCGACCCAGGCCAGGACCCGCAGCCAGAGCCAGACCCTGAACCAGGCCGGCCCACCAGGACCTGGACGCCGATCCCGCCTGGACCCTGACCCCGTCTGGCCCTCGACCGGGTCCCGACCGTGACCGGGACAGACCCCAGAGCCGGACCCCGCCTGGAGCCCGCCCCTCGCCCGCCTCCCTGCCGCGCTCGCACATGGCCCCCGCAGCGGCGCTCCCCTCCGCCCCCAGACCTGGGGCTCCGGCAGGGCGGGCGGGCAGGCATGAGGGCCGAGCGGCCGGGAGTGCCGGTGTGAGCTGGGGTCCCCGGGCGGCCCCTCCTCCGCCGCCTCCTCGGGCTGCGCCGCCCCACCGCGCCGCGTCCCCTCACTCGGCGGCGCCGCTGGCTGCTTGTAGGACACAAAAGGACATCGCAGCCGCTTCCTACTCCGCTTCCTCCAGCTGACAGCGGGGGCGGGGCCGGCGGTGCGCATGCAAAGCAGGGGGCGGGCCCCGGGCCCCTATGCTAATCAGACAAGTGGGGCGGGCAGCGCCTGCGTGCCCGAAGGAGTAGGGGCGGAGCCGGCAACACCAGTGGGCGGACCTTCACAAAGGTCCCGCCCCGCAGCCGCGGAGCCTCGGCGGCGCACATGCGTACGCAGCCGCTGAGGAGGCGGAGCCAGAGAAGGGGGGGCGCCGGGAAATAGAGCGGGAGTTGGGGGGAGGGTCAGAAGCGCTCTTTCGTAACGGAGGAGGTGGGGTGCGCTGCGCCAGAAGAGTGGGCGAGGTCGCTCAGTGGCCGCAGCTGCGGAGCGGGGAGGCTACATACTTATGAAAATGAAGAGGGCGGGACAGGCGGAGAGGCTGGACTATCGACCCAAACCTGAGGGGCGGAGCCTAGATGCCCCCGCTCTGGGGGGAGGCGCTCCCCCTTTCTCTCTTCCCCTTCCCCCAAGGTAACACCAGCGTGGTGCTTGAGCCGTAGACCCAGCCTTCTCACCAGCCTGCGGAGCCCGGGGTGGGAGAAGCAGACTTAAAACATTCAAGAAGCTCTGGATTGCAAGTCCCTGGAAGGTAGGGCCTATAGGCCCGCATGGAGAAAGCTCAAGGTCACTGCGGTGACCGAATGAAGGTCATGGGAAAGGGCGGGGCCACGTGTGTCCGCCTCACGCGGGTTGCCTTGCACTGATTCAAGGACCGTGCACAGACTCTTTTATTTATCTAGGGCTAAAATTCCACGCAGACAGGGTCGGGCTTGGGTCTGGGGGCCGGGCAGGGCACGGCGCTGGAGTCGGGCTGCTGCTGAGAGACCGAGGTGGTGTTCTTAGTTTCAGATGTTCTGTCCCGTGTCCTGGCGCTTCTTGATCCCTTCGATGTATCGCTGCAGCTCCTTGGTCAGGAAATGGTCCCTGCCAATTCCTGACCGGTAGCCTAGGAGAAGGGCTATGCTCAGCTCAGGGCAGTGGGGATCCACAAGCCTCCCCAACAGCGGGCGCCAACATGTGTGATTTGAGGAACTGCAGGTGATTTGGGGGGGCAGCAACGCAGAGTGCTCAGATCTGTATTAGTCTGGGCAACTTTGGTCTCTAAGGTGCTGGGGTATTAAGGTGGAGGGTGGATGAGGGCACGGTTAGAGAAGATGTATGGAGTGGTAGGGAGCAGTTTTTTGGACCCCTTCTGGACCACCCACTCTAAGCCATCAGCTGGCCCTTTCTCCCTGCTGGACCTTCATATCATAAGCAGAATTTTACCCAAATAATTCACTGTCCAAAGGCTCCTCACAGCTCCCCCACCCACTGAGAGGGAACCACGGTCATACTAAGACTGTCATGCCATTGGGCAGGTGGGGAAACAGCCTCAGAAAAGCCCCATCAGCTAGAAGGGGGCTGCACTAAGGCTAGATCCCAGGCCTCTGACAGTTACCCAATGCCCTCCCCACTGGGTCTTCCTGTGTGGATCCCTCAACTTTTAATTTTTTGGGGCCCTTAGAATATTTGTGGATGCTATGGGGGTTTGATAGGACATACACATCCTGAAACCCCAACCCGATGGGCTCAAGCCCTGCAAAATCCTCCAGGATCTTTTGTGGAAGGTTGGAGGGACTCACTCCGGAGGGTTTTGTTGAGAATTTCCAGAGCTTCATTCTTCATGAGCTCCCTCAGGGGCAGTGGCAGCTAGAAAAGCAGCAAGAGGCTCACAGATCCCATCTCTGCCCACAGCTGACATGCCCCACCTGCTCCCTGCAGCCCTGAGACACCCAACTAGCCCACCTGCCCCTCCACCTTGTAATCCACCATCTTTTCACTCCTTGCAATCCCCAGCTTGCCTATCCCCTACCCCACAGAAACCCCCAGTCTCCCTGGGCCCTTCCAACCCTGTTCTGCTGCTCTGCCCAGTAGGCTAGATGGGGTGCATGTCTGGAGCCTTCCACCGATGACATTGAGTGACGTTTTTCTGAGAGAAGAGAAAAAAGGTCAGTCATCTGCAAACTCCTGCGTCTTCCCTGGAGTAGAGGAGATATGTAGGCACTCAGTAGGAGGGAGTGGCCTTCAGAGACCAATTCCAGGTGCTGTCTTGGTTAGAGTCAGCATGGGACACCACTGGTTACAACCCCAGGCTTTAGAGTCCCATCTACCTGGGTTCAGTCTGACTCCCCACTGTGTGAGACTGAGCACCAGTGACTGAAACTTTCCAGCCCCAAAGTTCTTCATCGGTTAAACGGAGGGCATGAAGTTTAAAGGTGATATGCAAGGGAAGCCCCATGCCTGGCACTGAGCAAGCGCTCAATGCCTGGCGATTGTTTTGGGTTCCAATTCCCTGTGAAGGGGGAAGTGAGGAGCAAGTGCCAAACAGCGCCCTGCATGTAGGAAGGGCTTAAAAATTGTAACCAGTGACGACATGAAGGACAGACACCCTCTTAACCAAGGCGAATCTTCAGGCAGGGCATTAACACCTCCCCCCCGTCAGCTGGCGGGATGGTTCCGTTACCGGCTGCCTCTGCGCACTTTCGTGCCTGCCTTCCCGGACTCGGCGTGCCGCGGCGGGAAGGCCTGCTCTGACGCCTGCCCGGTAGGGGGCGCGCCAAGAATGCCCGGTTGATTCAAAACGCGGAAGATTCGCGCTGGTACTGGTCCCTGGGAGTCCTAGAAACTTGGATCCTATCAGCTTCCCCCACTTTACAGCAACGGAAATTGGGGCCCTGGCCAGCCCCCGCCCTGTGAGCGTCCACGGCCTGGCGAGGCCACACTAACCGGCCTTGCTCCTGGAACTGTCTCCCTTCTTCCCCGCGGGGGGCTCCGTGGAGCTGCCTTCCTGCGGTTCCTCTGGGAAGCTGTGGCTCTCGTCCTCTTCATCATCTTCCCAGACGCGGGTTTGTTTGTACCACTGAGTCTTGTCTACGTAGATACCCTCTTCGTCGAAGTTCTCGCAGACCTTGAACAGCGGCAGGTTCTGTTGTGACTCCGACAGTGAGGTGGTGGTCCACAGGTCCCGGATGTCGCTGGACGAGTTCGCCTCGCCTGAGCCGCGGTGGTCGGGCAACCCCTGTGGGCCACGTACAACGAGGGAAGCCCGGGGTCGCGGGGAGCTGGGGCGGGAAGGAAGAGCAGGGTGGGGGCGGGTGTCTTGAGCCAGGCCCGGCTGGGGACTCCGTCGAGCGGGCGTGGGGATTGGTGGGAGCCGCGGGAAGCCAAGGCTCGGCGAGAAGTTATGCCAAGGGCCCAGGTCGAGCCTAGGATGAGTCTGGGGGCTGACCGTAAGGGGACCTGGGAAGAGTTCTTACTTCGATAGGCTCTTCCTCCATAGTACTGCCTCCAACGGACCCAGCCGCCACAGGCCTGGGGGCCAGGAGTTGGGAGGGGCAGGGTCTCCCGAGTGGTGACGGGGCGCGTGGCGACGCAGCTCTCGCGCGGGGAGAGTTCAAACTACCGCCCTCGGCCGGCGCGGTGGCGCGGTGGCTCACGCCTGTAATCCTAGCACTCTGGGAGGCCGAGGTGGGCGGATCGTTTGAGCTCAGGAGTTCGAAACCAGCCTGAGCAAGAGCAAGACCCCATCTCTACTAAAAAATAGAAAGAAATTAATTGGCCAACTAATATATATGGGAAAAATTAGCCGGGCATGGTGGCGCATGCCTGTAGTCCCAGCTACTTGGGAGGCTGAGGCAGGAGGACCGCTTGAGCCCAGGAGTTTGAGGTTGCTGTGAGCTAGGCTGACGCCACGGCACTCACTCTAGCCCGGACAACAGAGTGAGACTCTGTCTCAAAAAAGAAAAGAAAAAAAAAAACTACATCCCTCCACACTAGATGATGCTATTCTCTCTTCCTCCCCCTCTCCCCCCAGTATCTGCTGAGGTTGGAGACACACAGCCCATCTTGGATGATTCTGAAGGCGGACCCTACCCAGTTGCCTCCAGGCAGAGAGGCGGGCCTGGGAACCGCTGAGAGGGCCAGGACTCCCGCGGCCTGGGGGTCGGGGAAGGCCCGACGTGCCCCCTGGGCGGCGGCCGAGGAAAGCACTCCAACACCCACTCGCGCTCACGCCCGCAGCGGTGCAGACTGTTTTCGTTTATTAATGCAGGTTTCGAGGCACACTCGTGAGGTGTTGTGAGGGACAGGCCTGGCCAGGGAGGCGAAACAGAAAGCCTTGGGGGCTCTGGAAATGGATGGGAGCGAGGATGGGGGTGTAGGGGGTAGCAAAGTGGCAACCCGTAGCCTCCTCCCCAGGTTTCAATCACATTGACAGAGGGCTCTTTGGTAAAACAAGCCAAGCATGCCGGGGAGAGAGGAGGAACAAGCCCTTAGAGAAGCCCGGGCCGGGGATCCCGCCCCTACACGGGCACGCCTTTCTCTCGGGGACGCCCGGGGCCTCGGGGCCGCGCAGGCTTCCTGGCGGGGTTGGGGCGGCGGCGACCTGGCGGCGCACGGGGCAGCGCGCAGCTGCGCTCGCTCTGCGTGTCCGAGGACTCGTCGATGAAGGCCAGGTTCTCGCTGGGGTAGTCCAGGGCCGAGGCCGTGGGCGGGGAAGGCGGCTGGACCTTCTCTGGGGGCGCGGGGGATTGGGGCCTGCCGACCGGCTGCGCGGGACAGGGAGGTGGAGGCAGGAGTGGCCGCTCCTTCTGTGGAGGCGGTGCGGGGGGACCAGCTCGCTGGGTCACCCGCGCCGTCACTGTGCCGGTCCAGCTGGCAGCCTGCGCGGTGAGGCCGCCCATCTGCGCGGGGAAGAAAGGCAGCCCTCGACCAGGGGTCCTTGACCGACTCTGCAACCCCAGGAACCTGCCCTTCACCAATTAGGCATCGACTCTGTTTTCCGTGGCCTCCAGCCTCAGCGGGCGGCGACACAAGGACTCCTCACCCAGCGGCAGGCTCTCCCCCATCCGCGCCAGAGCGCCCCCTTCTCCAGGGTCCTTTCTAGAAATACTCAGTTTTATTTCAGCTCTCTCTGGTGCCCCAAGACCTTGCACCTTTATCGGGTTCATCAGCCGAGCGCTTCAAGTAGGGTGGCAAAACACAGGTAGCTCAGTTAAGTGTGAATTTCAGATAAACAACCAATAAAATTTCAGCATAAGTATGTCCCGAATTAAATATGAATTTCAGATAAGCAACGACCAAAATTTAAGTATGTCCCTGAGAAAAAGAAGGCATTGCTTGTCTGAAATTCACATTTAACTGAGCTTTCTGCATTTTTATTTGCTGAATCTGGCAACCCTATCCACAAGGGCGGAGGTGATGGAGTCACTCCCCAGCCTATCTGAGCTTACCACTCAGTTCCCGATGGGATACCCAGAGGGGCTCACTCAGTCCCTGCCTTGAGGAGCCCACATTCTGGAAGGGAGACAGACTGGTCAACCAGGGCTAGGGTCCAGCGCATTAGTGCCATAGTGCACACTGGGCCAACGCAGGGGCGCATACCTGTGCCTGTGTGCGGCGGGACACTACTCGCAGCCAGTTCCCGATGGTGGTGAGCACCGAGGCGAAGTAGGCCAGGCCAAGCAGGATCCAGAACCACACCAGCGGCTGGTAGGCTGGATACTCCTGCTTGGGGTCAGCGCCTGGGATACCACGAAGGAAGGCGGAAAGAATTTGATTGTGGGGCAAGCCTGTGAGCTACTGTCTCACTGTGCTTCTTACCAGCTCATTGAGAGGACCTGCCCTCCCCAGGTCCTAGAGTGTCCGAATGCATGCAGGAAGATGAGTGTGATTAGTTGAAGGTGTTCAAGATAAGAGCATGCAAGACGGGGTGCTCACCCACAAGAATGACGTATGTGAGAGGTGCACTTATGTATGTGTGAGCATGCATGAGATGCAGTCATGCAAGAATGTAAGTGCATGAGGTGTTTCGAACTCCTGACCTTGAGCAATCCACCGGCCTCACCCTCCCAGAGTGCTAGGATTACAGGCGTGAGCCACCATGCCCGGGGCCATTTCCCATAATAATTTTTAGCATTCGTGCAAGAATGTAATCGTGCGTTCCATGATAGCTGTAGGGGTTGGAGCGATCACATGTAAGTGTACAAAGGCCACATGGAATTTGGAGGGAGAGGTGAGAGTGTAGACTCCCAGGACAAGAATAAGGAAAGTAGATAGGGAGGTGCAGTGCAAGAAGGGCAGCCTCACCAGCCACATAGTCACCGAAGCCCACGGTAGTGAGCGTCACTATGACAAAGTAGATGGCCTCCAGCTTGCTCCAGTCCTCCATATAGCAGAACACGAACGTAGGCGTGAGGACAAAGAGCAGGCAGCCAATCAGCAGGAAGAGCATCGCTGATAGCACTCTCACCAGCTCCGGTGGCACGTGCCACTTCTGCGGGGAGGAGCGGTAGGCAGGACCGAGGAGACACCAACGACTTCCACTCCCATACTCCCCACTCCCACCCCCAGGAGCCTGCGGGAGAGGCTAGTGCAGTGTAGGGGCGCGCGCTCACGTGCCAGGGACAGAGAGAAGGGTATCCAGAGCCCAGCACAAGAGCGTGCAGGGCATGGAGCAGCTCACCAAGAAGATGGCTTCGATGTGACCGATGCCACGGCGCAGGGAGGAGCCCAGCCGGTCCCCGACCCCTGCCAGCAGGATCCCAAACAGCGGGATCCCCACCAGTGCATAAAAGATGCAGAAGAGGCGCCCAGCATCTGTGCGCAGAGCCACATTACCATAGCCTGGGCAGAGGGGTGATGCAGGAAGTCTAGGGGCTACCTGGCATCCCCTACCTCTCCCTGCACCTGCCCCCTGGAGAAAGCTCCTTGCCCCTTACCCCCCTCCACATGCCCCATCCCCTCCCCCACCGATGGTGGTGATGATGGTCCCTGAGAAAAAGAAGGCGCTGCCCAGGTCCCAGGTTGAGTGGCTGCTGTTACTGGTCGAGTTGGTTTCTGGGTTCGCACCCCCTCCCAGGGCATCAGCCACCTCCTGCAGGACAAGGTGCAGAAGGAGGAACCTCAGTTCTTCCCTCCTGTCCTGGTCAGCTCCCTGTCCCTCCAGTCTCTAGAGTGGTCCCTTCCCCGCCCCTCTCAGCTCACCCCTTTCCTCTGTCTCCCAGAAGGCAGTCCCTTATAACAGAGGATGGGAACCAGGTGACCTAATCCACCTGTGGGCAAGTTTGTTTGATCTCCACAATGCTTTAGAAACAGTTGAGTTATCTGCCCCCTAATTTCTGACAAGGACCAGACCGCCTGGGTTGAAATTTTGATGCAATGTGACCTTGGGCAAATTAATGCTCTGTGCCCTGGGTTCTACATCTATAAGATGTGGATGATGGTAATAGCACCTACTTCATAGATTTGTTGTGAAGAGTTAAAGTACTCCAACAAAGTAAGCACTGTGTGTCTGTTAAATAAGTTTTCACCCAGTGATCATGCCCTGTGATTTCCATAGACCCTGCCACTCCCATTGCCGCTGTGGAAGCTGAGTTTGAATCCTTTGCCTTAGAATATCTAATGAAAGTTAGGGACTTTCCCTCCAAGAAGGTTCATATACCACCAAATTTTGCATCCAATTATAGGAGGTTCACACACACACACACACACACAAACACACACCGTCTCGATGAAGTCCAAGCCAAACCCTCTGCTGCATAGTAGGTGCTCAATAAGTATTATTAAATGAATGAAATGTCTGTGTGTTTGCTCCTCTTGCCAGCCTGCAGGTCCCTCAATGGCAGGGTGTGTATTTTATTGTTTTTTGTTTGTTTGTTTTAGACAGAGTCTCACTCTGTAGCCTGGGCTAGAGTGCCGTGGCATCAGCCTAGCTCACAGCAACCTCAAACTCCTGGGCTCAAGTGATCCTCCTGCCTCAGCCTCCCAGAGTGCTAGGATTACAGGCGTGAGCCACCGGCCCAGCCTGTTTTTATTATTATTATTATTATTATTATTATTATTTTAGAGACAGGATCTCACTCTGTCACCCAGGCTGGAATGCAGTGGCATGATCATAGCTCACTGCAGCCTTGAACCCCTGGGCTCAAGCGATCGTTCTGCCTCAATCTCCTGAGTAGCTGGGACTACAGGTGCACACCACCACACCCAGCTAATTTTTCTTATTTTTTGTAGAGATCTGGTTTTGCTATGTTGCCCAGGCTAGATTCAAACTCCTGGGCTCAAGCAATCCTCCTGCCTCAGTCTCCCAAATAGGCTGGCTAGGGTCTGTATTTTGAGGGTGCTTGCCCTAGGTAATAGGAGGTCAGAGGAACTGTGCCTCAAGGAACACAAAGGCAAGGCACAAGGCCATTGACTATGGGAATATCACAAGCCACCTCTTTCCTCCTGACTATACTTCATTAGCAGGACCTACTCCAAATTAATCTTCCTAAAGTGACTACTCAAAACCCTGTGTGGCTCCCTGCTGTATGCAAAAGCATCTAAACTCCCCAGCCCAGCATTCAATCCCTTTTCCAAACCCCTCCCAACCTCCCTTTCCCCAGTCTTCTCTCCTAGGACTTCAATTTGGCACCCCATGTTACAGCAATCTTCCTCACAGATTTTTTGAGATAATTCCATTTCCCATAATAATTTTTTTTTTTTTTTTGAGACAGAGTCTCATTTTGTTGCCTGGGCTAGAGTGCTGTGGCATCAGCCTAGCTCACAGCAACCTCAAACTCCTGGCTCAAGGGATCCTCCTGCCTCAGCCTCCCGAGTAGCTGGGACTACAGGCATGTACCACCATGCCCGGCTAATTTTTTCTATATATTTTTAGTTGGCCAATTAATTTCTTTCTATTTTTTTAGTAGAAACGGGGTCTTGCTTTTGCTCAGGCTGGTTTCGAACTCCTGACCTTGAGCAATCCACCAGCCTCACCCTCCCAGAGTGGTAGGATTACAGGCATGAGCCACCATGCCCGGGGCCATTTCCCATAATAATTTTTAATAAGGGTAAGAAGTGAAATATCTGATTAAAATTATTTAATTTGTATTCTGCAACACTTTTTCCAATAAATTCACTACTCAGGGAAAAAAATCCTTTGTCATCCTGTGTGTTCTAATTTTTGCTTCAAATGACTAGGCATCTGCTAACTCCATGTTCTGCAAAACACTCCGGAGCTTTCCAGCTTCCACGGCTTTGTTGTTCCTCTGCATGGAAGTCCCTTGCCCTCAATCCCTAAACTCTACCCCTCTCACCTGGCTCATTTCAATTACCAGGTCTCCCCAAAGGCATCTCTCTTCTTGGCCCCAGCACCTAGCCCAGCACATAATAGGTGCTTAACGGAGAAGGAAGGAAAGCTTCCTTTCCACTGCATCCTATGGTGATCTGTCTGTCCACAGATCTGTCACCTCACCTAAATGTGACATTCTCCTGGGCAGAGCCTGTATCTGCTCCTCCCCAATATTCCCATCCCATGGCATATAACACTACACCACCTAGCACACAGTAGGTGCACGATTGATGCACAACTAATTCAGGGACTGAATCTTACTGTGGAAGAGAAATAAAGCCGCTGTCACCCATCCTTCTGAGTCCTGCCCCTTCTTTTCTCATTTTTTCTTATTTAGGAAAAAAACTATTCCATTGTGAGGATAAAATAGGTCAGATTCCTTCCCTCCCTCTGCCCTGTGGTCAGGCCAGACACACCCTGTATGCAGGCCTCTCTGAGCCACCTCCAGCATTGTGAAAGTGTCGGAGACAATGTTGGGTGACCTGTGTCCTGGCTCCACCCCATACTCATCTCTGTCCTGGGTCCTGCTACCTTGGCAATCAGGTGGACCACTGAGACTTCCGTGCCATTGGCCCCTCCCTCCACAAAGAACAGGCAGGGAACAAGGGGTGCTCTTCAATCAAGTAATAAACATTAATTTATTAAAGTTAAATCTTATTTTTTTTATGACAGTGACTTAGAAATCAAAGAAAGCAACAGAGGTGCTCTCCTGCTGTCCTGACTGCACCCCAGAAAGCTGAAGCTCTAGCACTTTCTGCAGTCCCCGGTGAAGGCTGACCAAAAGTGCCTCAGGGAAGCCTGTCTCTGACTAGCCCACTCTCCTTCCCCTCAGGGTAAGCATGTGTCCTGGGGAAAAGGGGTGCCTGACCTGGCATCTATGGGATCCTGGACCCCTGTACATGTACACATGCACACTTTTCCAGGACAGAAGGAGAATGTTCACAGTGTTTGGGGGCTTTTCTAAGGCATCATGATTCCATAAAAGTATAGGAACCAGTGTATGTAGGGTTACCAGATTTAGCAAATAAAAATATTGCATGAGACATATTTAGCTTAAAAAGGCATTTGTGGTTTAGCTGAAATTCACAGTTAACTGGGCATCCCAAATTGATCTGGCAAGTTAACCTGTGAGTTAGACCTGTGCAGATGTAACATATCCCATGTGCCACGGCCATTCATTCATTCATTTTTCCTTCATTCAAGCACCATCACACACTGAAGGAGACACTCTAGGGGCACAGTCCTGTGCCACCTCATGGCAAGGAAAACAAATGGCCCCATGGCTGCCATACTGAAAATACAGAGACCTGGATCCCAGCCTCTGCTCCACAGCACCCAGCTGCACCCTGTCCTCAGGGGTACCTGTCAGAAAGCAGCAGCACCCCAGCATAGGGCCTCACTGGCATGCAGCTAGCACCAGGGGGTCCTGGGTGACTGCTGAAGGGGCTCTGGCCCACCCACGCACCTTGATGAAGAGCCCCAACTCCTGGTCGCTCACACACGGATGGGCCCTCAGGAACTTCTCTCGGACCTCCCCCAGCTCCCACTGGGCCTGCTGCTCGTGGGGCTGCTCCAGGGCCTGGAACACCAGGGCACCAGACACCAAGTAGAGCAAGACCAGCGCCAGCAGGGCCAGTAGCGTGGTGCTGCGCATGGCGCGGCCCGGTGCCTGGCCAACTCCACTGCTCGCCTGGAGAGGCCGGGCTGGGGCCTCCTGGGGAGCTGTGGTCACTGCGGGCAAAACCAGGGATGCTGGCGTCAATGAGATGGCCTGACACCCACGCCCTCCTCCTGGACCCCTACACGCCCAAAGATCCCTGGTGCCCCCAGCCCTGCTTTCCACAGATGACCGCCATAGCCCTCTGATTGGACACTCGGTACCAGGGTACACCCAGACCCTCCACCTCGGGCCTCCCCCTTAACCTCCCTGCCCCGTTGGGGACTCCAGGGTGTGAGAAGAGGAGAGGGCACCGGAAAGCGAAAGGAAGGCGAGTGGGAGGGCGAGAGAGATTGAGCCTGCCTAGGAAGAAGCAGGGCAGCGAGGCAGCGTGGGGGGCCCGGAGGGGGCTTGGGGAACCGGCCCTCAAGGAGGGGGCCGAGGGGGCGCGAAGGGAAAGCAGGAGGCGAGGCCGGACCGCTTAGGGTGGGGACGCGCGGTGGCTGGTCCGGCTCGCAGGCTGGGGATGTGGCAGCATCCTCGCGGCTTCTCCCTCCCCTCTCGCCTCCTCTCCGTGCTCCCGGCTAGTCGCGACAGGTCAGACGCGGAGCCTCCAGGGTCCCCCTGCGCCCTGCCGGGCTTTCGAGGAACCCAGGGGCGGGTCCGGGCCGCTGCGCAGAAGCGAGGACCGGAGGAGGAAGGGAGAACTCCCGGTTCCGGGAAGGAGTGGGGTGGAGGTCGTCAAGGGCCAGAGCAGTGACAGCTGTCAGTCCCCAGGACAGAGGGCGGCGGCGCCCACGCGCACACACGCCCCGACACGCGCCGCCACCGAGACCCGCGCGCCCACGCTCCACCCTGCAGCCCCAGCCGGCCGCGCCGCCCAGGCTGCCTGCTCGCACCGCACCGCACCCGCACGCTCCCGCAGACTCCAGGCACCCGACCCCCATGGGCGTGCCGGCGGTGCACACGCCAGACCACAGGCCCGCCGCCCCCGCCGCCTCCCCCTGTCCTCACGCCGACGTCTCGGAGCGTGATGGGCGCGGGATACGCGGTGGCACCACTCCCCGACGCGCCCACACGCGGGAGGTGGGCGCCCCGCCCAGTCCGTCGCCCCTCGGGGGCCCCTGCCCGGGAGTCCTTCCCGAGCCCCTGCGCCCGCCCTGCACTTACTGTCGGCCCCGCTGCGGCAGCGGCTGCAGCCCGGGCTCCCGCGCGGCCTCGCCGGTGCCGGTGCCGGCTGGGCCGCGGAGGCGGCAGGGGCGGAGCGGGCGGCCGCTGGGGCTGAGACCCCCCCTCCCGCCACCAGGAGCCCCCCTCCTCCCCAGTTTAACCCACCCATCGCCGCGCCTCCCTCGGTTCAGCGCCCTCGCCGCAGGCGCCACCCTCAAACCTTTACCTGCCGCCGCCCCGGCTCCCCAATCCTGGCTGGCCCCGGGCGGTGGGTGGCAGTGGAGCCAGAGAGGGGTTGCCGCTGAGTGCAACCTTCTAGTCTCTGACCGGACTGCAGCCCAGTGTGGCCAGCGGCATGGCCCCGACCTGGGCATCAACTGGCCCACCTCTTCGGACAGGCATGACACTAATCTCCTGGCATCTCCCAGGCCCATTACTGGATTGGGAAGGGCCCTCTTATCTCCGCCCCAGGAGACAGCCTGGCCCTAGGGCTCAGCACTCAAGGGAGCCCCCCAAGGGTTGGGGGAGTATCTCACTGAGGCCACCTGGAATTGGCAGATGTGGGGGATGGAACCAAGCTCTGGGAAGTCACTGCTGGGGCACCTCCTGTCCCCACTCCCATATCCCCAGCCTTTGGTCCTCACCTCTGTGCCCAGGAGTCAGCCCCAGGGGCCTGGGCTAGAGCTGCCTGCCAATCCCAGCAAGGAGCTGGAGTCAGCTTTCTCTCTCCCACTGCCTGAACAGCCAAAGCCCTGGTGGGTCCTGAACCCACACTTGCCTGCTCTCACCCGCTTCTTTACAATCTCTGATCTCTCCAAAGACCCCCTTGCCTCCTGGGGTCCTTGGCCCTCATGGTGGGTGATTTTAAGCTTCAGCTTTAAGGCTGACCACCCCTACCAGCAGGGGACCGGGACAGGTTACCAAACTCTGGAGTCTCGCTGTTCCCACTTACAGAAAAGGGATGATTAATCATCACTTTGGGGTGCTGTTCTGAGCATTAAAGAGGTCAGTGTTTATAAATGTTCAAAACAGAGCCTGGCTTGCACAATACAGTGCCCTACAAACGCAAGCAATTTTCCTTTCAACAAAAAATGATGGTTGGCCAGGCGAGGTGGCTCATAACTGTAATCCTAGCACTCTGGGAGACCGAGGCGGGAGGATGGCTCAAGGTCAGGAGTTCGAAACCAGCCTGAGCAAGAGGGAGACCCCATTTCTACTAAAAATAGAAATCAATTGGCCAACTAAAAATATATTGAAAAAATTAGCCGGGCATGGTGGTGCTTGCCTATAGTGCTAGCTACTCAGGAGGCTGAGGCAGGAGGATCGCTTGAGCCCAGGAGTTTGAGGTTGCTGTGAGCTAGGTTGATGCCATGACACTCTAGCTGAGGCAACAGAGTGAGACTTTGTCTCAAAAAAAAAAAAAAATGATCGCCCAGCTTCAAGCTGATTCTCTGTGATGCCTTCTCTAGGGGTCCCACAGGCCGGGTGCCCAAGATGATCCCAAGTGAAAGGTGTCAGGGCAGGCTCAGTGCTAGGTCCAGGGAACTCTGAGGAGCTGGGACAGCCAGGTTATGTGGGCAGGAGACAGAGCCTGTAATAAATGACAGCCAGGCACAGGACAGATCTCCCAGAGCTGTAGGAACAGAGGCAGTGATGGTGCTATTGGAGGCAGCTGGAGAAGGGGCCCCCAGGACCACCAGGCAGACACAGCGTGGTGGCCACCTGCTCACCTGGGCAAACCACACCCTGGGAGGGAGATAGGAGCTAATCAGTCACAGCAACGATTCCTTTGCAGGCCTCTGACTAACCCTGGACTCCTGGAGACAAGGTCAGAGTGGTGACAAGGATATAGGGCCTCCAGAAAGCCCAATCCATTGGGGTTAAGACTCACAATAGCCACCTAACCACGGTGCTATGGGACCCAAGACAGGGGCCACATTCCCTGACCAGGAGGCAGATGACTTCATCAAGGTGACATATGAAGCAGGTCTTAAGGACAAAGTAGAAACTGCTGGAGTGGGTAGGGATCTGGAGTGAGTGGGGCTATTCTGGGCCTGTGTGGTCTCCCTTCCCTGGCAGACTGCAGGTCCCTCCTTCTCTTGGCTCATCAGCTTTGACAGGGGTAAGTGGCCCTTGCCCAGACCAGCAGCCACTTCAAGGGCCAGTGTCTGGTCAGCCTTAGGCTACAAAGAGGAAGGAAACACAAAGCATATGACCAATAGACAGGTGACTGGACATGGGGCACAGACACTGTTTATTAAGTGGCAGGCACAGGAGAGGTAGCTGACTCCGATGTGGAAGCGGAGGTGGCAGGTCATGCCAGGGTGCTGTGGGCATCTGGCGGCCAGGGCCATGCCCTCCATCCTAGGGGGATGGCACAAGCTCACTACGACAGGAGCGGCAAGGAGCCGGCCAGAGGAGGGGGCGGCCATGTCCCTCAGGACCCTGGGCAAGAAGCAGCAGATGCACTTGGCACAGGGGCCTGGGGTGAGGGGGGCTAGGGTGTGGGTACTCGGGAGAAAGGTTGGGGAATCACGTCTGTGGGGTGGAGTAGAGACTGTGGTGGTGACCGCCTGGTCCCGGCACCTGGGAGAAGAGCAGAGGAGTGGTCCTCGTCTGGCTGCCCTCACACCAGCCCGGCTCGCGCCCGATGGCACCATACCAGCTGCCAGAGCCTAGGCTGCCCGACATGCTGCAGGCAGAGAAACAGGGTCAGTCCCGTGGCAGTGACCAGAGCCACAGTCCCAAGAGTTGGGGGAGGAAGAGAGACTTAGAACAGAGCCCCTGTGACCTGGACATCTGGGCAAGGGGTAGGGGCTTTAGCACTAGGAAGCCAGAGGAGACCTCCCCTAGTACAGATGGGGAAATGGAGGCCATGGAGGAAACAGGGTGCGGGGGGCAGCAGGACCTGGCTCTTGGTCCCCCATGGCTCCATGGAGCCAGGCAGGGGCCCGGGGGTCCTGAGGCGGGGCCAGGGCTCCTACCTGGTGCTCTCGCCCCGGCTGTGCTCCCAGGAGCAGCCCTCGTCCTCACAGTGCCCAGCCCGGTCGAAGAAGTAGGAACGGGAGCCAAAGACCTGCCCATTGAGGATGCGGCTGGTGCTCTGGGGGGAGGAAGCTGCCATCGGTGCTTTCTCCTGCCCCCCACTGGGCTCCCACAATCCAGACCCTAGACCAGGTTCCCAGTGTCCACCCCTCTCCACCGGCCCCACAGAGGAGGGTGGAGGCCCTCACCAGGTCCTGTGGGGGCCGGTGCACCCGGAAGAAGCCCACCAGCAGGGTGGTAGGCAGCAGCTCCCACACGAAGAGGATGAGGCCAAACACCAAGTAGCCTTTGTTCCCCAGGTCATTTACCAGGTCCGCCTGTGGGAAGGCAGGGGCTTGTGCCAGTCTGCAGTCATGCTAATGGGGCACGTGGACAGGACCCAGGCCAGCTGGGGGCTAGGCATCATGGCTACTAAGGGGGTAGGAGACACGCCAAATGCCCACCTGGTCAGATACATTGTACCAGTCGTAATCGAAAGCATCCAGCCGGCTCCGGGGGGCCAAGGCCAGGGCTGCCAGGTTGTAGCAGGCCCGGCTGGCATAAAGCAGGACCATGGCACCACCCATTGCAGCTGCCTGGCACACACTGGTCCCCTGGTGCAGATGACAACAGAGGATCCTCAAGGAAGGAAAGCTCCCAGCTTCCTCTATGCCCTGAAGACCGATGCCCAAAGCTCCCAAAGGACACCTGGGCATCAGGGCTTGTGGCCCTACCTTGGCTTCCAGGTAGATGCTAGTGGAGGGGGCCCGCCGGGCCACAAGGCAGAGGCAGGCGGCAAGAGAGAGTGCGCAGATGACGAAGAGGGAGTCGCTCACCAGGACTCGAACCAGCAGTAGGGCCCAGGGCTGTGCCCTGCGCCGGCGGGAGAGCACAGCACACAGCACATTCACCAGCAGAAAGAGCAGCGAGGCCCCCACGAAGGCCCCTCGGACAGCCAACCTAGAGCCCACAGCACAGTCAGCCCCAGACACTGACTGCCCCTAGCACCCGCCAACCACCCCACCTCTCCCAGGAGAGCCGGTGCCAATCAGAACTCAGACTATCCAGTCTGAACTCTGTTCCTCCAATCTTACAGATGGGGAAACTGAGGCCCAAAGAGGTCAGAAAGTGACTGACAGCTGTGGTACTTTGAAAAGAGCACCAAATTGGGAGTCAGAAATCTGGGTTTTAGCCCTGGCTTTGCCTCCTGCCAGCTCTGTGACCTTGAACATGTTGCTTTACCTTGCCAGGCCTCAGTTTCTTCACCTCTCAAGTGAGGATAATATAACAGCCTCTCAGGTAAATTGCAAAAATGAAAACTGTTTGTGAAAGCTCTTTATAAACTGTAAGACACTGTGTCAATGACAAGGGTATTGCTCCCCTAGGTCACCCAGAAGTGCAGTTTGGCTTTGGAGCTTCCATGGGCTGGAGCCTCCAGCTGTTTCTCCATCATGGATGACACTAGTGCCCTCTCCCCTCACAGTGTCATGACTCCTGCTATTATCGTTGCCCTTCATACATGCAACGCCTCTGCTGAGCCATCTGCAGCAGGTGCTCTAACTTTTCCAACCTTTTCCACAAATATCCCCTGGGTTGTTCTTGCCTCACCCCTGAGACCGGAAGGGACATCTCCACAGGGCTGCTCCCTGCCCCTGACCTGGGGGCTGAGCCCATCATTATCCCGAGTACTTACAAGCCTCGGCTCATCTCCGGCCGACGCTTCGCCTTGGCCTTGAACACCACCTAGGAGCAGAGATGCCCATGACTCCCTTGGGTCTTTGGAGCTTGCCGCCCCCACCCCCCTACCCATTACCACGGTTACCTGGGCAAAGTAGAGGTTCATAAGCGTCAGGGTGAAGAACTGCAGGCAGACAGGGCAGCAGTAAAGAAGCCAAAAGGGCAAGGGCCCCAGGCGGTTGGCTCGGGAAGTATCTCGGAAGTAGAAGGAGAAGAGGGTGGTACGCAAGGCAGCCCAGAGCAGACAGAGTGCCAGGAACACCGTCTGATAGCTGAGACGCTTGTGCCCATACAGGAGCACCAGCCACAGCTGGGCATAGACCGAGAAGAAGAGCAGGGCGTACAGGGTGGTGTAGGCCGCGGTCAGCCCCAGGGTCACCGCAGGCGGCAGCGCAGGCACCAACCCGGCAGCAGGCACCAGGCCAGACAGGTTACTCTCCATGTCAGGAAGGGAGGCCTGAATCCCGGAGACAGAGATGGAGGGGCTGGCAGGGTGCCAGGAAAATAAATACTGAGGGGTGGGAATTGCACGGTGCAGAGACAGAGATGGGGAGCTCACAAGGAAAGAAGTTGTGGCTGCCAGGCCCCTCCTCCTCCACAGAGAGAGACCCTTGCCCTTGGGGAGCACGGGCAGCCTGGGCCTCTGGCCCTTCACTCAGAGGAGTGGAAGGGCAGTTTCTCCTCTCCCGGGCAGACAGGGTGGGAGTTGGGGAGTGTCTCCTCTATGGGCCGACCCCAGAACCAGGGGTGGGGAGGGTGCAGAGGCCAAAGGAGAGGAATCTGTGGCCTTGATCGCTCGTGTCGTCCTGGCAGGAGGGGGAGAGCCCACCGATGCCCGTAAGCTTAGGGCAGCGGCCCCAGCGGGGGGCGCCCAACGCCCTGCTCTCCCCCTCCTCAAGCAGGGGGGCTCTCTCCCCTCCAATAATCCGGATGGGGAGCCTCTGCCTTCTGTCCTCGGGATTGCGGACGCCGACCCCACCCTACCCCCACCGCATCCACTCTCCAGCCGCAAGAGGCAAGAGGAGGCCGATGCCTGGTCCTCAGGCCACAGCTGGGGGAGCCGGCTCCGGCCGCCGGGACCGGGGCTCCGGCTCCCCGGCTCCCGCTGCTCCCGCTGCTCCGCCCCCTCCTGCGCCTGCGCGGGTGCGGTTCGCTACGCAAATTGCGCAGGGGCCGGTCTGGCTCCGCAGCCCAGCGCCGCACCCGGCGTGGGGCTGTTCGAGAATTGGCGCGAGCTGCGCCGCCGGCGGGCGCCCAGTGTTACGCGAGGCGGCAAGTGGCCGAGTTGCCGGGGCCGTGCCGCAGCCTGCCGGCGACAGGGTGGGCTGTGCCCACCTCTGGGCCACCGGCCCTCGCTTGTTCCGGAGGCCGCCAGTTCCCACGCTTCTCTCCCCCATCCCCGAATCGGGATCGCGTCGCCCGGCTGGGGGCGGCAACGACTTCCCCTCGCTTAGTCTCTGAAGGAAACTTCCGCCCATAGCCAAGATGGTCTCCGGGCCCCGCCCCCTGGGCCTTAACCCGCGGCCGAGTCCCCGGGCGCGTCCCCCGCCTCTCCCGCTCACCTGAGCTCGCCGCCCGCCGGCGCCAAGCCCCGCGAGTGCTACGGTCCGCCCTCGCAGGGGCCCCCGTCCCTTCTCCCTCGCCTGGCGGTCATGCTACGCCAGGGAGGAGCCTCCTTTCTTATCTCCAGTGCCCCGAGATGGCGCGGGGAGATGTCCCTGGTGCGGGCGGCGCAAAGCCTCCACCTCGGGGAGGAGGAGGAAGCGGGACTTCCCGACCGGGTCACCCGGCCCAGGCGGAGCAGTAACAATAACAACAATAATTGTATCCGTCGGCTGAGCTTCAGCTGCGGCTCTGCAAAGTGCTTTCACCCACAGTAGTCACTCCTTTTACAAAGTTTTCACTAGCTCACGAGGGAGGTGTCATAATCCCCATTTTACAGGCGGGGAAACTAAGGCCGAAGGACTTGACAGAAGAAGCGAGCCAGGTTCCAAACGGGGACCCTTGAGAAACCCTCACCTGCCCCCACACACGCCCAAGGCGTGAGGAAGCTGAGAGCTGAGCCGCGGGAGATGAGGGAGGGACAGAGGAGCAAGGCGGTGGGCGCGGAGTAGGTCGGGCGGCCGGCGAGGGCGGGCCGGGCCTGGGGCGGCCCCGCCTCCGGGCCAACCCGAGTGACATTTCGAGAGCTGATTGGGCCGGATCGATGACAGTTCCCGTTACCCAGGTAACTAGGGCTGGGCGCCCTCAGCACCGGAGGGAGGCGGAGGGCCCGGGTCGGGGCCTCGAGATCGGGCTTGGGGTGAGACCTGGGTGCCGTCACCATCGGCGGGGCGGGCCGGGGCCTGGGTCTTCCCCATAGCCCAAGGGTTCTGAGGGGATATTTAGGTTCTGGGCGGAGAACCTGAGTTCCCTACTGGGCCAGACTCAGCAAACAGATGAGGGCCTGGGAGCGCTAGGGTGGGAGAGGGAACCAGGGACACCTGCCTCTGCCTCGGACGGCCGCCGTTTGCCCCCGGTGTGCCCTGAACTACCTACCGTCTTGTCCGCACAGCCCAGAGCATGTTCCAGATCCCAGAGTTTGAGCCAAGTGAGCAGGAAGACTCCAGCTCTGCAGATAGGGGCCTGGGCCCCAGCCCCTCAGGGGACCTGCCCCCAGGCCCCAGCAAGCATCCCTGCACAGCTCCAAGCTTCCTGGGGGACGCCAGTCACCAGCAGGGGCAGCCCAGCAGCAGCAGCCACCATGGAGGTAAGTACCCGCCAACCTGCCTGGCCACCTTATCCCCAGCCCATTAGCTCCCTCCACCTCAGCTGCATCCACACCCAGTGACGGCTTTGGGCAAGCACCTAACCTCTCTGAGCCTCTATCTCCTTTCCTGTAAAGCAGAGCAATTACTCACCACCGTTACAGGACTTTTGAGTTAATTAGCAGGAATATATAGGAAGCACTTGATTATAGAGCTGGTGCCTGGTAAGTGCTCAAAAAAACTAGCTGTTATTGTGGGGCCAGGTCAGAAATTAGAGACAGGCAGTGATCCAGAAAGGAAAAGTGACTTGCCTAAGGTCACACTTGCTTGGCATTGCCTTTCTTAGGAGGCAGGGCTGGAAGAGTCCTTGGTGCCCTGCCTGTCCCAAGCTACATACGTTCCCTGGGATTGGGCCTTCCAGCTCCTGGGTGTGTTCTTTCTCACCCTGTGGCTTACACCCACATCAGGGCTGTCCTTGCTCAGTTTCCAGGAGCAGATTACCCTAAGGGGCAGACAACCCCCCAAGGCCACAGGCCCATTGTGGGGGGGGGAGGGAGGAGGCATAGGCACCAACATGGAAGGGCATGAAAAGACAGTGGCCATTTCTAAGCAGTATCCACCTCCCCCATGCCCAGCAACAGCCTTGGCACCTGGAACAACCACAGAGATCTTCTGAGAACAAAAATCAGGTCATGTCATTTGACCACTGAAGCTTAAGTGACTCCCCTCCCCATTTTCAGGAGTAGGAAGGCTTACCCATCCTTCCCTTACACACTCTGCTCTCGAAGCCTGGACCACCCAGCTTTACCTTCCAGATCTTGCACTTGCTGTTTCTCTGCTTACAACCCCTACCTGTTCTCCCTGCCACCTGGCTATTCCAACCCACCTGGCACTCACTGTCTCCACACAGTGAGTCCTTGTAATTTGCTGTGGGCTGAAAGGAGTCAAGAATCCTTGCCCCTGTGGAGCTTACCTTCTAGTGAGTGGGGGAGACGGGCCAGGAGCAAACAAACAAAAGTACATTCTATAATGTGGCAAAAGGTGACATGCGCTAGGGCGGTGGGCTAGACGGTACAGAGAATCCAGAGTGGTGGGGGCTGGGGAGCGATCTTAACCGAGGTGGCCATGGCCAGCCTTGGCAAAAAGCAACACTGGAGCCAAGACAGAGGGGAAGCAGGGCCACTCTGGTACCGGTACCGGAACCGGAAGAGTTCAGGCAAAGGGCAAATGCAAAGCCCTGGGGCAACACCCACTCCAGGCTAGTGTGGGCCTAGGGGAGAAGGGGAAGGGTAGTTGGGGACCTGAAGTTGAGTATCATTATAAGGACTTTGGCTCTAGCTTTGAGTGAATAGCAGGGAAGGCTTTGAGCAGAGGCGGCATGGTTTGACTTAGGCACGCAGAGAATCACGAGGTATTGCGAAGGAGCTGGACGCTGGGCTGAGTATGCCGGGAGGCCTGGCAGGACTTGCCGGCCGACTGGATGTGGGGTGCGAGGGAGAGAGGAGTCCAGCCTGAGCGCCCTGAAGGATGAGCATGTCCTTAACAGATGGAACACTGAGGGCTGGGGGAAGATCCAGAACCCCATTTGGGCCATGTCAGGCTAGAGGTGCCTTTTAGGCATCTAGGTGGGATTTCCAGTAGGGTCCTGGTGGGAGCAGGCAGGGAGGTGGAGTCCACCAGGGCCGTGCTTGTCTCAACCCAGTGTGGGGCCGGGGCTGGAGGGGGTGTGGGAGGGCGGGGGGCAGTGTGGGGTGCAGGCTGGCCAGGCGTGAGGAGAGCAGCAGGCCATGGGAATCCGTGGCATCATGGGAGTTGGCGTATTGAGGGGGGCAATCTGGACAGGTAGGAGGCAGTGGTCAGCCTGTGGGAGTTATTTGGTGGTGACAAGGTCTAGGTTGTGGCCATGGGAACGAGAATCTGAGGGGAAGGCACAGAAAGGCTAGGAGGTGGAGGACCGCTCAGGTCTTGTGCCAAAAACAGGAGTGGTGGCGGACAGAGCTGCAGAGGACAGGAGTAACATATCTCAAAAGCAAGTGATTTCCTGTAAAAGGTCTGCAAGTGCCAATGACTTGCCAGAGCCGCAGGGCCTCTGCCCCCTATGTGGGCAGGGCCACTCTCTCTTCATACTCCCTGCCACCATACTCCCTGCTGGACTGTAAGTGTCTCGAGGGCAGGAACTGCAGCCCAGTGCCTAGGATGGGCATGGGTGGTGGAAAGGGGAAAAGGACTCTTGGTGGGCCAGACTGCAGGGTTCAAAGGCAGCTCTGCCCTTTATGAGCAAGTTGAACTTGAGCAGGTTAATTAATTTAATCTGCCTTAGTTTGTTTATTTGTAAAATGAGAATAGAAGTAGTCCCATCTCACAGGGTTATAGTGAGGACCTGATGAGTTAATATAGGAAAAGTGCTTAGAAACAGTGCCTGGCACAGAGGAAGAGGTGTGTGTTTGCTATTCTTACTGCTACTATGGTCGTTATTATTGTTACTATGAGTTGGCCCAGGCTCTGAGCAGACCTGGAGGTGCTCACGCTCAGCTCCTAGGGGCCAATCATCCAGTGGGAGTAGAGACATGAATATCCAGTGCTCCCCTGATGGTGGACAAGTGAAATACAGGTTAGAATGGAAACATTAGGGCCTTGAAGCCCACACCAAGGGTTTGGACTTTATCTTGTAAGCAAATAGGGAACCATTGAAGGTTTTTTTTTTTTTTTTTTTTTTTTTTTTGAGACAGAGTCTCGCTTTGTTGCCCAGGCTAGAGTGAGTGCCATGGCGTCAGCCTAGCTCACAGCAACCTCAAACTCCTGGGCTCAAGCCATCCTCCTGCCTCAGCCTCCCGAGTAGCTGGGACTACAGGCATGCGCCACCATGCCCGGCTAATTTTTTATATATATATCAGTTGGCCAATTAATTTCTTTGTATTTATAGTAGAGACGGGGTCTCGCTCTTGCTCAGGCTGGTTTTGAACTCCTGACCTTGAGCAATCCGCCCGCCTCAGCCTCCCAAGAGCTAGGATTACAGGCGTGAGCCACCGCGCCCGGTTCCATTGAAGGTTTAAGGTAGAGGAAGGACACGCATAGTTGGGTTTTAGAGCAAAAGTTGGCAAACTATGCCGCAGGCTAGATCCCTCTGTTTTTGTACAGCCCAGGAGCTAAGAATGGTTTTATATTTTTAAATGATTGAGGCCGGGTGTGGTGGCTCACACCTATAATCCCTGTACTTCTGGGAGGTCAAAGTGGGAGGATCAATTGAAGCCAAGAGTTTAAGACCAGTGAGAGATAGAACAATTAGCCAGCCATGATGGCGAGTGCCCGTCCTGTAGGCAACTCTTTTTCTTTTCAAAAAAGAAAAAGAAAATGGTTGGTAAAAATGAAAAGAACAGATTGCGCGAGATCAGGAGTTCAAAACCAGCCTGAGCAAGAGCGAGACCCCGTCTCTACTATAAACAGAAAGCAATTAATTGGCCAACTAATATATATATGGAGAAAAAATTAGCCAGGCATGGTGGCGCATGCCTGTAGTCCCAGCTACTCGGGAGGCTGAGGCAGGGGGATCGCTCGAGCCCAGGAGTTTGAGGTTGCTGTGAGCTAGGCTGACGCCACGGCACTCACTCACTCTAGCCTGGGCAACAAAGTGAGACCCTGTCTCAAAAAAAAAAAAAAAATCAAAAGAACAATATTTTGTAACACATGAAATTCAAATTTCAGTGTCCCTAAATAAAGTGTTAGTGGAACACTAAATACAGTGTGTTCATTTACATATTGTTTATGGCTTCTTTCAAGCTATGACCACAAAGTTGAGTAGTTGTCACACACATGTGTGGCCCCTGAACCTAAAATGTTTACTATCTAGCCTTTTACAAAAAACAAAAATATTTTCCAGCCCCTGTTTTAGAGGTTTTTAGAGACAGGGTCTCACTCTATCTTCCAGGCTGGAGTGCAATGGAATGATCATAGCTTACTGTAACCTCCAACACTTGGGCTCAAGCGATTCTCCTACCTCAGCTTCCCAAGTAGCTGAGACTACCAGTGCATGCCAACATGCCTAATTTTTTTTTTTTCCTGAGACAGAGTCTCACTCTCTTGCCCAAGCTAGAGTGCCGTGGCGTCAGCCTAGCTCACAGCAACCTCAAACTCCTGGGCTCAGGCAATCCTGCTGCTTCAGCCTCCCAAGTAGCTGGAACTACAGGCATGTGCCCCCATGCCCGGCTAATGTTTTCAATATATTTTTAGTTGGCCAATTAATTTATTTCTATTTTTAGTAGAGATGGGGTCTTGTTCTTACCCAGGCTGGTCATGAACTCTAATTTTTTTTTTTTTTTTTATTTCAATCACTGAGCAAAATGAACTCTAATTTTTAAAACTTTTTTTTTTTTTTTTTTTTCCTGAGGCACAGTCTCGCTTTGTTGCCCAGCCTAGAGTGAGTGCCATGGCGTCAGCCTAGCTCACAGCAACCTCAAACTCCTGGGCTCAAGCAATCCTGCCGTTTCAGCCTCCCAAGTAGCGGGACTACAGGCATGTGCCGCCATGCCTGGCTAATTTTTTTCTATATATATTAGTTGGCCAATTAATTTCTTTCTATTTATAGTAGAGACGGGGGTCTTGTTCTTGCTCAGGCTGGTTTCAAACTCCTGACCTCAAGCAATCTGCCCACCTCGGCCTTGCCCGCCTTGGCCTCCCAGATTGCTAGGATTATAGGCATGAGCCACTGTGCCCGGCCTTAAAACTTTTTTGTAGAGATAGGCTTTCACTATGTTGCCCAGCCTGGTCTCGAGCTCCTGGCCTCAAGTGATCCTCCCAAAGTTCTAGGATTACAGGTGGGAGCAACGCACCCAGCCAGAGTGTTTTCTGATTTCATCAGCTCTGAGCAAGGTGGGGTATGTTCTTTACTGGCCTGACACGGGGCTTGTGTACTGAAACCTGCAGGAGGCGAGGTCTGCAGGCTCTAGAAGCTGACAGGCAGTGAATGCCTGCTGGGGCCTTGGTAGCATAGGCCGCCCTGATGATCTGCCAGCAGAGTTTGTGTAGCCTACATGTAGTAGAGGAAGGATACAAACCAAGCCCTGCCTGCTGGCATAGCCTTAGTGCTTCGAACGGCTAGAACACCGCATTTTTAATTAAGTGTGCAAGGATGCTCATGGAAGCATAAACAGACATGTTCAGCCCCATCCACTCACCTGGAAGCCAGTGGGTAAAGAACTTAAAGCTTGGCCGAGCGCGGTGGCTCACGCCTATAATCCTAGCACTCTGGGAGCCCGAGGCAGGCGGATTGTTTGAGCCCAGGAGTTTGAGGTTGCAAAATACCACTCTCTGGTATTTTCCAGTAAATAGAAGAATACTTTTTAAAATTCAGTTTAACACAAATGGATGTCATTTCAATGATGGCTAGTTTAGCATTGCTAAATCCATGGCTTTGGTAAGAATGCTCCACCCCACAGGAGGGGCTCTTAGCAGAGCCCACACTAGCAGGAGGCCCAAGGGTGTGTTCCTTAGCCTAGGCCCCCCAGTGGGGCAGCTGGAGGGAGCCTAGAGTGGGAGGGTAAAGTACGAAACCCCTGGAGCCAGATTGGTTGGGCTTGGATCCCAGTTCAATCATCTATCTACTAGCCCTGTGACCTTGGGCAAGTTACCCTTTCTGCCTTAGTTTCCTCCTCTGTAAGAGGGTGACCATGATGAACCTCCCTGATAGGGTGTGGTGAAGACTGAACAAATAAACACACGGGAGCGCCTCCAACCTGACCTGGCCAGTACTCTTCTACTTGTTCTGATTCCTGCGTCAGGGGGTGTCGCTCAGACCAAATGTCCACCTGCGGGTCACTCACTGTGGGCCTTGTGTCTGTCAACTGTGGTGGTCCTGTGGTCCTACTGAGAACTAGTAGAGAAGAACAGCTGCTATTTCCTGAGCACTTAGGTAGCCAGGCAGGGTATACCAGCTATGTGACCTCAGGCAAGTTTCTAGCCTCAGGGTGCCTCAGTTTCCCCATCTATAAAATAGGGAGAACTTGGTATCCACCTCCCTGGGAAGTTGAGAGGTCCCAGGATGTGAAAGAGTGCTCTCCTGGTCTCACTTGTTATCGTGGTGGTCCTGGGAGATGGACAACTACCCCTATTTCACAGAAGACACTGATGCCTCCAGGGGGTTGGAGAATGGGCCCACCTAGCTGCTGACCCCTGCCTGCTCCACTGTCCAAGCCCCACAGGACTGCAAAGTGTTCTGAGACAGGCCCATTCCCATCAGGGCTTTATCTATTCTTGGCTCTCTAGCCTGCACCCCTAGCCTGACTCCCCACACCCACCCTGCTCCTCCAGGGTCTTGAGGTGTCCCCACCTTCCTTGCCTGACCTCAGGATGAGTCTGGGCTTTGGCAAAGCTCAGAACAGCCAGGCACTCTGATCACATACTCTTAGCCTAGGCCTTGTGAGTTCTCTTGTTCCCTTCCTGGCTTCTCAGTCACTGGCCCGCAGTGCTCTGCCGAAGGTCCTTTCATGGAGGAGGAGACTCTGTTTGTTATCCCCAGATTCAGTTCCTGGCCTGTATCTTACCTCCTCCAAAGTCTTCCCTGACAGACACACCTTGCTGTGAACGCTGAGCATGTCCTCCTGCCTATCTCTCTTACTTAGCTCTGGCTATCTGCTTCTGGGAGTGGTTCTAGGTCTTTGGTCTGGGTACAGTTGGCAGGAGTCCAGGATGGTACACAGATAAAATAGACCACAGTACAGGTGCCTCTAAATAATACCCATAGGGCACTTGCAGCCTACAAAGCACTTTTTTTTTTTTTTTTTTGAGACAGAGTCTCACTCTGTTCCCCACGCTAGAGTGCCATGGTGTCAGCCTAGCTCACAGCAACCTCAAACTCCTGGCTCAAGTGATCCTCCTGCCTCAGCCTCCCAAGTAGCTGGGACTACAGGCATGCACCACCATGCCTGGCTAATTTTTTTTGTGTGTATATATATATATATATATATATATATATATATATATATTTTAGCTGTCCAGCTAATTTCTATTTTTTTAGTAGAGATGAGGTCTCACTCTTGCTCAGTCTAGTCTCCAACTCCTGAGCTCAAAGGATCCTCCCGCCTCGGCCTCAGAGTTCTAGAATTACAGGCGGTGTGAGCCACCACGCCCAGCCTACAAAGCACTTTCAAACTCTGTTTTATTTTATTCGACCTTTTATACAGCCACTGGGAGTAAGGGCTAGTCAGAGTGGAAGTGTGGGAAGAGATGCATAGCTCAAGGGATCGTTGCTGGACTCTGGATTCCACCAAACTTCTAGGGACTTCCAGCTTCAGGCCCTCAAAACTGTGTGACCCTGAGCAAGTCAAATACGCCTGTCTTCTCTTCTGTAAAGTGGAGGCAGAGTGGGTGAGATGATAAAGAGGAACTATCAAGGCCTAACACATAAGTGCTCCATAAATGTTACCTAAAAAAGTCAACAGACAAAAAAAAAAAAAAGAAAGAAAGAAATTAACAGACAATTCCAGACATTTTCTCAAAAGCAGGTTCTGTAGGGGATGCAGACATGTAAACTGATAGGTGGTTGTTTTCCTGGGGCCCCTGCAGGTCCCTTGCAGAGCTGTTTAGTCCTGCATGCTGGGGCAGGACACCTCCCTATCCAGAGAATTGGTTACTTCTGTAGAATGAAGATGAAATAGTTACCCACCCAGGGCTTGCTGGGAGGCTCCATGGCGGTCTTGCACAATTAATTACAGTCGCTATTTCTTATGCCTTTATTTTCTGCCAGGCACGGTAGAAGTTCATTTTATACTCTAAGGGCCTTATCGATTATTGGCATTCAATAAGGATTTGTAGAATTAATAAGTTAATTAATTTGAATTTTCACAAAAGACCCCTGAACTTCCCTCGATTTGTATATTTGTGAACTGGAGCTCTGAGAGTTAGACTGTGAAGTGCCTACGAAGACATTAGCGGGCTGGCGGCGCAGAGGAGCTGAAAGTCGTGTCGCCCACCAACCCCGACCCTCTCTGCAGGAGCTGGGCCTGTGGAGACCCGGAGCCGCCACAGCTCGTACCCCGCGGGGGCAGAGGAGGATGAAGGGATGGAGGAGGAACCCAGCCCCTTCCGGGGCCGCTCACGCTCGGCGCCCCCCAACCTCTGGGCTGCACAGCGCTATGGCCGCGAGCTCCGGAGGATGAGCGACGAGTTCGAGGACTCCTTCAAGGTAAGAGTCGGTTCTAGGCCTCTTCCCATCGGTCTGTCCCTTCCGTGTGCCACGACCCTTCCCCTCCCACTGGCCTGTTTCTTCCGAGTCCCAGAGCATGCCGGGATCGGTAGTTTCAGGCTCCACCCCGCTTCCCTGGCTTCTCCCGTCTGTGTCCCAGGGCATACGGGGACCTGTAGTTTCAGACTCTCCTTCTTGTCCCGTCTGTGTCCCAGGGCATACGGGGACCTGTAGTTTCAGACTCTCCTTCTTGTCCCGTCTGTGTCCCAGGGCGTGCGGGGACCTGTAGTTTCAGACCCTCCTCCCGCCGCACCAGCCTGTCCCGTCTGTGTCCCAGGACGTGCGGGGACCTGTAGTTTCAGACCCTCCTCCCGCCGCACCAGCTTGTCCCGTCTGTGTCCCAGGACGCACCACCCCCTCCGCCTGTTTTATTCATGTCCCAGGCCATGCCGGGAGTGTAGTCCAGCTCCCGCTCCAAGCCAAAGCCTCCGGGTTTCCCAAATTCTTGGAGCGCGAGGCATGCTGGTATTTGTTGTCTTGGCCCAGCCCTGTGCGGGCATCTGGGCTTTTTAGCCCCGATTCGGGAGCCAGTTCCTTAATTCCTGAATCGGGTGCTGGGTTTGCGGCTCTGGTGCTTCCATGTAGGGCCCTAGGTGTCTTCTCTCTTCGTCCCCAGTTCGGAGTTCCTGGGCTCTAACCAGTCCCCATTCATGAAGGCCCAAGCGTCCTGTCGCGCTTCCCTGACCACACATGTGAGGCATGCTGGGACATCACAGGTGGGGCCGGGCTCTAGCCGCCCTGGTAATCTAACGCAATTAACCCTTTTCCCCCTCCCACCCCAAAGGGACTTCCTCGCCCGAAGAGCGCGGGCACAGCGACACAGATACGGCAGAGCTCCAGCTGGACTCGCGTCATTCAGTCCTGGTGGGATCGGAACGTGGGCAGGGGAGGCTCCGCCCCCTCCCAGTGACCTTCCGTGCCACAATCCCGAAACTCTGCCCGCTCCCGTCGCATTTGGCGGCCATCTTGGGTATGGGCGGAAGTCTTTTCTGCTCAAGCTTTATGCAAAGAGGATCCGCGCTGTCTCTTTCGGAGGGAGGTTGTCTGACCCAGATTCCCTTCCGGTGCGTGCGAGAGCCACGGACGGTTCGGCCCCATCGGAAGTTTTGTTGCCTGTTGCCGCCGGAAGTGTCTCCGTGGTCCCGCCCTGCAGCGCTGCCCCGAGGCGCCTGCGCCAAGTCGCGAGCTGGGGTTAACCGTTGCGTCGCCAGAGCCCGTTCCTGCGCGGTGCACCGCGGGCTCGCGGGCAAACGTGCTAATAAAGCCCGCGTCTGTGCCGCCGAGTCTTCTTTATCCTTCGCGTGGGTAGCGCGATCGAGGATAGTTTCCAAAGATAACTCCGTTTTACGCATGAGGGCAACAGGCTCTTTCTGAGTGGCACCAGCCGCGGAGACCGGGAAGGGCTGGCGGCGACAAGCGGGCCGGGCAGCTCGGCCTCGGAGGCGGAGCGCGGCCGGGCCCCAGGGCACCAGCTTCTTATCTCTAAAGCAGTAATTGGGAGCCGCGGCCCGGCCAGCTGCTGGAATTCCGCACTCTGCAAACCGTGCCGCGGCTCCCCGGGGAGGGTCATTTGTTCCTATTTGGGTCAGACCTTGCGAGCAGCTACTGTGTGGCCGGCTTGGGGCCAGCGCTGCTCAGGGACCTAGCAGGACGCGCAGGCGGGGGCGGCGGAAGGCTCCGCCGAGGGCGTCACACGAGGACCCAGCGTGGGGTTTGGGCTCAGCTCCAGAGAGATTTATTGGCGCCCACTGTAGCCCCGGTCCGGGCTTCACAGTGCGTGTACAGAGATGAATTGCGCCACAGCCCCGCTCGCTCGCGGAAGCTTCTCGGCGAGGGTGGAGAACTAAAACAGAGGGTCCCTACCTGGGTGAGGGAGGCTCTCTCTGGCAGGGAAGTCAGGGAGGGCTTCTGGGAGGAGGCGAGTTAGACTTTGGGCCAGAAGGTGAAGTGAGGGATGGGGCTGTCACTCCCAGCAGGGGGGAGAGTGGACCCATGGAAGGACCAGAGGGAGCAGCAGAGGCCAGGCTTCTGAAGGGCTGAAAAGTCACACCCAGGAGTTGGGAGCTGAGCTGGTTTTTGAGGACCGGAGGCCCACATGTAGTGTTTCCGCAGTGGAGGGGAATCAGGTCAGGAAGGTGGGCGTTGGCTGCTGTGGGGCCTGGACACAGAGTACAGGAGAGTGGGCAGATTTGGGGATAAGACAAGGTGTGACAGAAGCACAGAAGGTTTGGGCAATGGTATTGACCCTAAGGGAGGAGAGCCTAGGGCAGAGGTCGAGTCCTGAGAAGGACCTGCTCTGAACAAGTTTCTCTGGCCTCCCCACCCCATCTGTTTGCCTGAGGCTGCAGCAAAAACAAAGCAAAGCAAACACTCAATTGGCAGGAGATAAGCCCAGATAAGAGGCTGCCTTCCTCTGGAGGAGGGAGTCGGTCAGCCCGGACAGCCAGGAAGCTGGGAGAGGCCTTGAAGAGGTGCCAGCCTGACCCTGCTGCCGGCCCTGCCACGCCCTTGGGCCCTGGCTGTGGGCTCTCCATGGCTCTGCGCTGGTCCTGAGGCACTGAGCAGGTTCACAGGGCTGGCGAAGACAGTCTGCCACAGAGGGTCCAGGCCCACCCTGCCTCCAGGTCAGGACATCTTAGCTGTGGCCTGGCACACGTGACATCGCTCTGGGCTTCCATTTCCTCATCTGTAAAACAGGCATTACATCTCCCTCACAGGGATGAGGGGGACGCGGGGCGTCCCAACCCCTGCCAGTGTCTGCGACTCAGCTTCCCTTGCTCCTGGTGGTCGCTGGGAGGCTCCCTTCCCACCTATCTCTGAAAGGCCAGGTTCAGAGCTCCCCAGCTCTACCCCAGCCGTCCATCCTGCCATACAGACTCAGCTGCCTGTGGGGGCCCTGAGCAGCCCCAGCGGAAGATGCTGGGTGTTTGGGTCACATCAGGCAATAGGAAGGCTTCCTGAAGCAGAGGCCTGAGCCTCTGTGAAGGGAGGATGGGGAGAGCCTAGGAGGGAGAAAAGCAATGGCTTGAGGGGACCAGGAGCCACAGCCAAGGGGACAGGGGCACAAAGGCAGCCAGTGAGGAAGGCTGCTGGGAAAACCTGCAGGCCCTGGGCAAGGCTGTCTGAAGTTCAAACCCAGCAGCCCTTCGCTGAGGGCTGACCTCGAGCCCACCAATGCCCACAGCTCATTATATAGATGAGGAAACAGGCCCCGGAGAAAGTGCCAGAGCCCTCTTACCTCAAACCACACTGCACACAGTGTCCCTGAAATCCACTTTTATTCATGTAAAAAAAAATATCCCCCAAAGAATAGAGAAAGAGTGTGACCCCTACTTCCCAGAGCTCCACGTCTCCAGCCAGTGCTCCCTGGGAAGTGCAGGAGACGCCACCAATTCTGGTGTGTGGGTGCCTCGGGAGGGGGGGAGGGGGGCAGGGCCCGGCCCAGGCCCCTCCCTAGGACTGAGGGTGGGAAGGAGGGCTGGGGGCTAAAGGGGCACCAGGAGGATGAAGGAGGGGGTTAGTGTGGGATACTCGCCCTGGGCTTAAAAAAATAAAATTTCTAAAGATAAAAAGTTAAAAAAAAAAAAAGCATTAGTGTCTTCACCTCCTGCCCTCTGCCCAGTGCCCACCCTGGCCCTGTGGCCACCTCTTGCTCAGAAGTTCAGAGCTGCGTGTTCTCCTCCTGGCTCTCCGAGTCAGCACCAGACAGGTGCCCGCTGCTCTGGGGTGTGTGACCGTTGCTGGCACAGGCCACCAGAGGCCCGTCCCCTAGCCCATCCAGCGTCTCGCCCAGCAGGCTCCGGCGGACCTCCTGCGGCAGCCTTGCCCGCTGCTCCTGGCACTCCTGGGCCAGCTGGGCCAGCAGCTGTGGAGGAGGACGGAGATCACAGCAGGGCCAGGCCGCCCAGCACCCTGCCTGCCCGCCAGCCTCACCATGGCCTCACCTGGGGTTCCTCTTCCGCCAGCTGCTGTAGGACCTGCTGCTGCCCCGCCACAAGGCGGTCGTGTCGCTGCTTCTGGGCCTCTTCCAGCTATGGGGGTGGGCAGGGGCTCAGCTGAGAGGCCCTGAGGGAGGGGCCAGGGCACTGGGGTTCTGGCTGGGCACAGAAATCAGGTGGGTGAAGGCTCCTAGGACTGTGTGGCCAGGGTTGTGAGATGGCTAGGCACAAGGACTCCAAAGCCAAGGGCACTGTCACACATGGTTGGCTTTGAATATAATGTGGGCACCAGGGGGCTGTCGTGCCTGGGGAAAGGCTCTAGAAGCCCCTTGAGGATAATGTGGCACCAGGCCAGGCACCAAGGAGATGGGTATCTGATGAAGGAAGAAAGGGGGTGGGGCTAGGGTGGCCCATGAGCCTCTCTCACCCGACGGATGGAGTTGACTGACTCAGTGATGTGCCGCCGGTTAATCTCTGTCAGTTCCCTGTGCAGGAGCAAAGCAGGAAGGGCTCAGTGCCCAGGGGGCTGGCCCTGCCCCCAGCTCCCAAACGGCTCCCAGTCCTGACGCCCTTACGCCTCCTTCTTGTGTTTCTCCCTTGTCTTGGCCTCCGAGATACTGTTGTGGCGCTTCCTGTCCAGGATCTTCTGCAGCTCCTTCTTCTCCCTAGAGAGGCCAGCGGGGGCAGAGCAGGGAGGGGCAGAGCAGGGGTCAGTGGCAGGACTGGGGACTCCGCCCTCCCCTGGTACCAGGGAGTCCCCTGCCCCACCACACAAGATCCTCTGCCTTCACCTCTCATTCATCTCCTTCAGCCGCTTCAGCTGAGCTGCGTGTGCCTCCAGGACGATCTCCCTGAGCCGCTGCTGAGCCTGTGGACACAAGTAACCAACAGGTGACACAGGGCTGATGCCAAGTGGACCTTCCCTCACTGCCACATGCCGCCCTCACCTGTCTCAGGTGCTCCAGCCTCCGCTCAGCCTCTGTGTCTGCCTGGGCCTCCTTCAGCTCCAGCAGACATTGCACTTGTCTGTTCTGGAACTCTTGGTACCGCTTCGCCTCTTCCTCCTCCTCCTTCATGTCCTCCACGTCAGCAGCCCCGCCCCTGTAGGGAGACCCCTCTGGGCTGATGCTCAGGTCCACCACCTGGACTTGGGCCTGGGGCGGGGAGTAGGGCACATCCCGGCAGGCAATGGCAGATGCCACCCCATAGGGCCAGGTCTGTTAAAACCAGGAGGCCCGTTAGCTCCACCTGAATGATGGGAGCCTGTTTGGACAACAAGCTCCTCATGGGCACGTCCAAAGAGATGTCACTCCCTGGGGGAAGAGTGGACCCTGGTGCAGGAAGCCTCCTCTATCTTCCTTGCACCCCACCTCCCCCACGGGGATCAAGGAGCGGCCCCTGCCATCTCCCTGCCCACCTGGCGTGGACACCTGCGTGCACACACCCCTCACATTCACATGGACATTCGCAGCACACAGGCAGACTAGACACTCACAGGACACCTGGCCGGTGGTGGCACCTGCTCTCCGCCCGGGCCTGGGCCAAGGCGTCCAGCACGCGGCGGGTGAGGGGCACGGCCTTCCGCTGATGCTTCTTGCGCAGCTCTCGCAGGTCTCGCTCGTGCCGGCTGCGCAGCTTCGCCAGAGCCTTGTGGCTTCGGAGCTCGTCCAGCGGGGTGGCGGCCACCTCTGGGAGTAGCAGGGCAAAGGTGGGCCGGGTGGGCCAACCTGCAGCCCCACTCCTGCCATGCGGCCCTGCCCCATACCTGAGAGGATGCTGGCGATGAGGTCATCCCGCTGCCCTGGAGAGCAGAGGCCACGTGTGAGAAGCTAGAGGAGAC